TGGACTGGTCCTGGCAAAACAAAAAAATTGAAAAAAAAACTGCAGACAAGGGGATAGAGAGAGAAGAACTAATACAATGGTTTTACAGTGATTCACAGGCACACCAGTATCTGATAAATACAGCAATCGGTCGAGAATGAGTGATCATAAATGAACATAAAACTTAACTGTTTCATCATAATAATTATGATTGCCAAGAAAAATCACTTCAAGTAAAAGTTACCAATTAATATTCTCACCAAGGTTTCATCAATGGCAAAATAACTCTAGTTTTTTCATCTGCTACCATCATAGCTCACATTGTACATCAGTAGTTCAGGTACCCACCACGTTAACTACTTTTCTGTTGTTTAATCCCGAAGGCAAGTTCCTACCCTAATTTCATTTCATATTGTACCAGTCAAACCTGCTTTTGTATACTCTCTGGAACCAAGATTTGAGTAACTAGGTATAACAGCAAGTTTTCATAATTTTTTTTCGTCTAGGGTCTTATACAGGATGGGAGGTTTGAAGATGCATGTCCCACACCACCAGTTGAATTTCCAGGGTTATCCCAGTTAAATACCCCATCAATAAAAATTCCCTATAAAAAGCAAGATGAAATAGGATAAGAAGCATGTCAAACTATCCCAACTGAATTTCCCTGGAATACTTCATCCACAGGGTTATCCTTGTCATATACCCCATAACATGTTCAATGTCATTTAATACCTGTAGTGACATTCATGAAATTGCCATAGAAACCAATATTTCCTCCAAAGTTGTGCAGCATACACCAAATGAATGGCTGTCCATAAAAGGACTCTGTTCTTTGCCAAACAGGATGAATGTCTGCATACAAATCTAGGACAATCATTTTACCTTGAGGCACCCCTTAAAGGATGGAAAATAAAGTTAATATTGCATGCCACAGGTACACAATATTACTCACTGCTGAGTATTCAATTATCTCAGTCCGGAGTTAAAAAATTAAGTTGCATCTTCTAATCTGTGTACAATTTGTTCATGTACTAACTACTAATTTTAAGATACTTATCATTTCCACAAATTGAGTTTTAATTGACAATTTTTCTTTTAGGAAGACATCAAGTCAATAGAGGTTTATGTTCTATCTGAAAGCCTTGCCTTTCATGTCTTCTTGTCATAAGTGCAATGTTCATGTTATTTAATGTATATTCCCCTTTTAAACAAAACAATTGCTACTTTGTTACCTTGTAACAATGCCTTGATCTGTGGTGGCTTCCAAAAACTTGTGTTCTGGAAAAGCCAGCCTTGCATAAGCCAGGTGGCATTAGGATCTCCAGCAAGCATTCCTTCATACACTGCTTTGCTGGCACCAGACAGATATGAAGTGTCATTTGATCGTGGAGTCAACTCATTGAATGTATCAGCATTGTAGATATGATCTGTGCCAAATTCTGAGATCAGTGCTTTGATAAAGAATCCCCCAATTTTCTGAAACAGTCATAGTTTGCCATGAGTACAGAAAAAAAACAAAGCAAACCAGTAGGAGAAAAAATACCATCTTTCATATTTCTATGTTGGTACATAAGGGAAAAAAGTTTGACCTTGATCTTAAGAAAGGCCCTCAGCTGAAGATCTTAGACACGGTTTCACCCTATATAGACCTCCTGTCCAATAAATAACTCATATGTAATTATTCAAACTGATACCCACTGATATCTTTCTCTCTTCTCAATACCTTTTCGCTTGAAAATGTAATGATACTGTAAGGAGAAATTCATTTCTAGTCACTTTTGGGACAGAAAGGATTACGGGGTTTGAGACACTGAGAAAAGCTAAGGCAGCTGTGCAGATATACAAGTCTGGGTTCTGTATTTAACTTGACTTTTAATGATGTACAGAACACATGTTACTTGATACCACTAATGAGCTATTCTAACATCTTCCACAGGGGTGTGGAAATTTTGTCACAACAAACAACATTGGGCCTTTGACTTTTAAGGATGTACAGAACACACATGTTACTTGATACCACCAGTGGGCTATCGTTAACATTTTCCACAGGGTGTAAAGTGTTGTTACAACAAACAGCTTTGGGCCTTAACACACAGACTACTTCTGTAGACACATAACATTATTTAAAGTACTAGAAGGTGACACCTACCTGAAAAAGAGGGTCAGATGGATCCAAGAGATATGTGCAGCAAAAGGTACTGTTGAAATGACCCCAATCAGAAAGTCTTGAAACATTTGCCTTTGGATATACTCTGATCAAACCTTCTGGAACATGTCCTGCAAAACCTGGCAGGACAGGTGTCATTCCAAATGCTCGCATCCTGTCCAAGATTTTGTGCTGCAGCTCCAGCTGATTTGTATGCCATGAGGAAGGAAGAGGGCCTCCCCAACCACGCAAGTTACCCATCCTTGCCCTGCAACAAGGTCACAGAGTAACACATTAACCTAAACTGGCTGTGCAGTGTCAGTGAAATGCTTAAAATAAAGGCATTTGCATTTCATTACTGTGAGACTAATACCTTATTCAAACTAGCAAAACATGTTTAGCTAAACCAGTTTTAAATGAATAAAAATCATAAAGAGAACTGAAAAACTGAACTTCCCACAGGATTCAATTAGTCACTAATTTGTCTATTCAGTGTGCCTAGTAAGCACCTTCTATGAAAAGAAAGAAACTTTTTTTCAGGAAAACAAATTGGTGTGAATGGGGTAATTAAGTCAACTTGTAGATCTGGTATCATTATCACTGCTTCTTGTTGTTTTTATTTAAAGGGTTTTCTCTTAATTATGGTTTTCCTTTGTTCATTAACATCATGACCTGATGTTATGCTGCTTAAATTTGAGGGTTTCTGTAGTAAGCTCTTATTTATAACTACAAACCGACTTCAAAAAATTTAACATTCATAAAAATTTAACTAAAAATCAAATCATAAAATTTTCTGTTCAACTGTCCCACAGCTATATTTGCCTAAGTACACTGAAGCTTTTGTATGCAGGAAAACATTTTCTCCTGACCAAAGGTGTCACAAGACACAGATTTAGAGAATGTAAGGGCATCATTTTCTTCAGTCTGGAAAAAAGTTTGGTCCCCTGAATAGAGGTACCATGAACCATTGAATTAGGACCTAACGTACTTCCTGTTTTTAATTTAGGATCAGACTTGGAGTGCTCATTAATTCAAGGAGACCCTTATCTCAGTAAGGGGGGTGGCTTTGGTACTTGTTCTATACAATGTGGTTTAATATGATTGTTGTTGTTGTTGTTTTTTTTGAGATTACAGATTTCTCTCGTATTCTTATCATGTAGTTAGGAGCAATAATCAGTAACTATTTAAAAGTCAGATGAAAGTGATAGATGTAACCAATGTTATACATCCCTTGCTGCAGTTCTTGCCTATAAACATGTAGAAGTATGTGAAGCAGCTCATTCATGGGGGGTGCTTAGTTAACATTGTGGTCAGTAAGAGAGGTGCTTATTCATAGAAAGGCAAGAATTCTAAGACTGCTTTATGTACAAAGAGACAGTTGTGTGAATGTGTTCTAATATTAAGAATCACCAATTAACTGTGCACATACCAGGCCAAGAAGGCAGGTCCCCCAAAATGCTGATCAAGCTCTTGTTGAGTGAGACCTACTCTCAGATATACTTTTTGCCAGATCGCTTCTTGTCCATTGAATGCCAATGGCAGATTTATGCCATTCATGGCCATCCAGTCTAATTCGCGTTCCCACCGAGTCCAATTCCACCAAACAAAAGAGTAGCTCACAGTGCATACATTCTGATAGTAGCGAAATCTGACAAAAGTAAATTGATTATGAAGATGTTATACTGGTTAGCACTTTGAGTGTGTGGAAGGTGTAATATTTCATTAATTTTTTATTTCCAATTCAATTAAATCCACATGAAAAGGAGTTTATTTCACATTCAGGCACTTATCCTTCCTTCCTTCAATGCCCCACCTCTTTCTACGTAGAAAGTATTTTAATACGGGGGAACTTTAAAATGTTTGAAAAACAAAAAGGCCAGACTATAACACCACAAAACATGGGTTCCTTAACGTGCCTTGCTAACCGTTATGGAGAAGAGACTGGAGATAGGGCCTACGGTTCATTGTTCTTATCCGAGAATACTGGAATGTCCAACTATTTGCAGATGTAATAGCAAAGGCAACACATTCTCCCCAGTCATTTTAAGAGTGTTGGTCCGACCCGGGGCTTAAACCTTCGTACTCTCGCACGGCAGTCTGGCAGTCTACAACATGAGCTACTTTCCACTTTAATTGCTACTCAGTAATCTAAATTAGTGAGCTTATGGTCCACCAATAACAAATTTTTGCTAACAATGTTATTAAAATGTTCGAAAACAGGTGACAAGAATTTAAGGCCCAGTTTAAAAGCTAATGAGGTGTGTCTCTTCACAGTAAGTGTACTATAGTAACCCATGAGGAGTGGGGCTAGGCATAACACACCTGTTTGGACTGGTAACTGTAACAGGTTGTTCCACAACAGGGAAAGGTTCTGGTATCTTTAACTGATCACCACTCCAAGAGATATGAGCGTGACAGCTGTATTTGAGAAAGTGCTGAAATCCCAGAGCTGCTGCAACTCCTGTTGTTCCAGTTATCACAAGTTTTCCTTCTTTGGTATCGGAGACGTATTCAAAAGTGTCCAGATCTCGATGCGGTCCGAGACTAGAGTTCACCTTTATGACAAACTTGGAGGCGTATTTTGGAATCAGGCGAGCAATCAAGTCGCTCACTGCTTGTTCCTGCACGTCGCTTGGAGTTTTACTCTTGATGTGCGAAAATTGTTTGAATCTGGAGGTGTAGGTGTTCCATCCACAAGAAACGTGAAGAAAAATCGACGCATACGTGATGAGAACAAGAATAGATCTCATCCTTGCCATATTCGTTCTTTTCGCTTCCGTCCAGAGCTTCCTGGTTAGAGTGACACTTCAAACGTCGGACTGGCGTGGCGGCTAAGTTTAAAAGTGCGCGGCCACCAAGCCCCGGAAGAGGGAACAGCAATAATCTAAAGATGTCCTCTCGACTTTTAAGAAAGCTGCAAGGTGAAAATGAACTAGAAAAAACGCATGGAGATGAAGAGGATGAAGATTATTTTAACCTTGCAGCTCCAGTCAAGTCAAAAAAGAGAGGAAAACCTGTTGTAAATCCTTTTGATTTGGTGAGTGCTACATGCATTTAATGCATCAGTTGATTTAGAAACAACGCAACGACTTTGTTTATATCTCTTTTAAGCGTTATAGATAATTTGAATGATAAATTTCGTTACTTTGTTGTTTTTTTTCTTCACTTGAGGCCTATCCATTTCTATCCAAAATCTATCCATTTATTTTCTATTTGTTTGTTAGACGATTCTTGCAAATTGGTCAGCGGTTCAAAAATTTCTTAATTCATACATGCATTATGAATACATTATGAATAAGTTGAAAATAACTTCATCAAAAATAACAGAAATAGCATGCCAGGAGCTTCCATTCCACATCAACTGACAAATGATTAACTTATTAGACTTACATGTTCAGAGTTAGAAGGGGAATTAACTGATGAAAATTAACCCTTCATTAACATGTTACTTCACCTTATAATATCCATGCATTATTCTAAAACGGGTAATGAGAGAACTCAACTCCCAAGATTTGATTGTTAATTTTCCCCTCCATCTGCTAGACATTTCCTTGTACATGTACTGTAGTGGAGAGAATTTGTTTAGGTCAAAATAACAACTTTTATCAGATAAGTTTCAGTATTCTCATTACTGGTTTGCAGGATAAGCTATGGATGTTAAAGGGAGAAGTTGCATATCAATCACTTCTGGGAGTTAAAAGGGTTGAGTTAAAGATTTTGAACCTATTATAGTTATTGTAGTTTTTCTGAAGGATATTAGCAAGTTACATTTTGTGAACTACTTAAACCTCTGGTGCAAAATCCAGGATTCTTAGGTGGGGTTTCTGTGTACATGATTCTTAACAATACTAAGTTTATTGCATGCTACTGCATAATCCTTGAAATTACACTTTATTGTTGCTTCCCTGTCAGTTAAATGTTGAGGATGAGCAATCTGATGAAGACTCTGAGGATGATCAAGAAGACGAAAATTTAACAGAGGCTTTGGAACATAATATAAATGAAGAGAAACCCAGCCCCGGGGAAATAGCTGAGAAACAGCTTCCTAAAAAGAAAAGGAAGAAAAAAAAGAAGAAAGGAAAAGGAGAAACAGAAAATGGAAAAGTTGTGAATGTAAGTGGATTCTGAAATTACAAATGAACTACTAGAATAAATGTGTTTAAAAAATCATTGATAAAATCAAGAATTGAATTTTCTTTGGACCATTCTCCTCCCTTCTCCCTTGCCCCTCTTCCCCTGTGTGGGCCTGTAGTGGTGCTTTTTTTGTGTGGCAAGAGAGCTTGTATTCCCAAATGACTGTGTATACTACTGTGGGTCCAAATAGCTAATACATAGGGATCAACTTATCTCCAGGTGGCATCAGTAATTTAAGCCCTTTGGCAAGACACTCTACCCTTACAGTGCCTCTCTCCAACCAGGAGTGTAAATGGATAATGGTGGCTATCAGGATAAACTATTGACAAAAGTGACAGGGGGGCTACACAGGAAAAAGGGGGGGAGGGGTGGGGAGAAGCACTTTGGCTCCCAAATCCAGGTGTACATTAGGCTTGATTAAGATTTTAACCTCAAGATCAAATTGAAACTAAGGTATGAAGATATGGCGAGGTAGATGTTGGAGATTTTAAGTGGAATCCAACATGAAATAATTTAAAACTAAGTTAATTTGCTTTTTAGTTTTTGCCATTTTAATTTTTGTACCTAAGAGTCATTGTGATTTGACTGCCACATATGAAAATACAAATTTAACCTCTGGAAGTTCAAAATAATTTCAAGCTGAATTCACTTTTGGCATTAAAATAGTCATCTGGGCTAGTTTTTTTTATTTTTTTTGAAACATTATTACTCTGTTGAAAGGGAGGTAAACTGCTGTATAATGACCAAAATTACAATGACAGTGAATCAGAAAATAAGTTAACAGAAGAAAAACTTGATGTGACTGTTATTCATTAAAATTCTTTTATGTGTGGTTTCTCATCACAGAAAAGAGACAGTGCTGATGGAGCTATTACCAAAGTGAACAATCAACCAAAACCTGAAGATAAAAAGTCTGGTAAATAAATAACTATACAGAGTGTGCATGGGTAAATGTCCCATGTTTGGGATAATTTAGTGGGTTGTTTCAATCAGTCGGTGTGTTGTATTATCTTCACTTACTTCAGGGATATAATTTACATCTGATCTGGGTGATTTGTGTGATGCTTAGTTTGAAAAGTCCTTCAGAGTAATAGAATAAAGAGAATGATACACCAGCACATGTACATGTAGATCTGTATGGCATTTCTCTGTGTTTGCTGCACTCACTCATGAGATGTGGAGTGGAGTGCAAGAGGGGAAATTCCATATCTACAAGTAAGCATGTATCATTTTGTTTATTGTATAAACACCATATGCTTTTACTAACAAGGAAATTGAACAAATGACTTTGGTTTGAGAGTTCTAAACAGTTACCATTTGTTCATCAACCTGAAAGAGTGATAAGAAAAGCAAGGGATTTGTCAGCACCTGATTGGTGATATAAAAAAAAATCGTAATTTTGCACATACAGTTGTGGCTTTTCTCAGGGCTGGAAATCCTTGTAAAATACCACACTTTAGGCTATAAAATTGTGTTCTTTCATTACTCTTAGAAAAAAGGCAAAACATATGCTGAAGGTTTAAATCTAATTTTTTAGTCCAATTTATTTATATATTTAACCTGTGCTCATTTTTTAATCCTTTTCAAGCAATGTGGTGTAATTTTATAAATTTTTCCTCTAACCAGGTCCAGTAACAACTTTTGGAGAGAGCACCTCAAAAGTTCTGGATACAAAAGCCGTATTAAATGTAGAACACAGGTAAGGATACTGGAACTATCTTTCTTGTTGTGAGAAGCACAACCAATCAGAAGACTTCCAGAAATTTACATTTTTTACCTGAAAGTTTAGGTACAGAGTAAGTACCAAAAATTGGCCTTTTTTTTTCCTCTGCTGGTGATTGTCTTAAGTACTTCACCTTTAGCTAAAATTGTAGTCTCAGTAACATTGGTTTGAAAGCTTTATTTCCCTTTGTTCTAGGATTTATATTTATTTCATTTATTTAATAATAATGGCTATTTGCATACAAAAAAGTCATGAAGTGCCCCCCCTCCAAAAAAAACATATATATCTATATATATTTATATATATAGATATATATGTTTTTATTTAATGATAATAATAATAACTATAATAAAATATTAAAGGATAGAGTACAAGTTAAGTTTTCCTACTCTTCATGGTGACCAAAATGATTGCAGCTTGAAGTGCTGCAAGCCTCCCTTGGTACAAGTTATGATGCAATGCTGTTTTTACCCTGATTTCTCGCCACTTTTTCTTGTAACTAGAAACTTAAATGCTGAGAATGAGATGAAAAGGAGATTTGGATCTCACATTGTCAGAGCAGAACAAAGGTAAGATTGATAAGTGACAATGACAGTGATCACTACCCCAGTACCAGTACTTAAACAGTAATATAAATAAAGCCTGTTTTTTCCAGGCTTTATTTTAACTACTGCTAATGATGATTTTTTTTAAAAAATAACATGTGAAGATCAGGAATTAGTTTTTTTATTACGTTTATTTTGAAATCACTGGTGATCCATGTAATCTGATTGACTCCCATTGGTGTGTTTATTCATAATTTATTCATAAATTTTGGTCTGAAATCATAGCCGTGATTTCAAATCAAACTACTAGTGCTGGGCACTCACTTGATTTTGAAATCTTGCATATAATTTCAGACAAAATTGCACTCCACTCAGTTCAATTATCATTGCTAATCAATAATTTTTTTGCAGGCAGAGAAAAGCACATCAGCGAGTTTATCATCGTTCCACAAGGTGGATTTATATGATATCTGTTATACATTTACAGGATACATTTCTTTACTTTGTGTTTTTCTTTTTGTGTAATTTATCTTTAGAATCTCTTGTAAAGATTTTTTTCACTTGATAATTTGAAACTTTCTGCAGTAGATAAGAAATAGCAGTTTTTACAGAAGTATTACACTCTAAAGACAAATCTAACCTAAACAATTTTCAAGGGTATCTCCTACCTTCTTAATTCAGATCTAGACTATTGTCATTCTCAATGTTGTACCCTTTTTTAGAGTCTATTTGGTGACCTGAAACCCTAAATTGATTGCCAAAAAGAGACATTTTGTATAATTACCTAAATATTTAGCTCCTTTAAACATTGGACTTCTGTTAAGTACCATGGAAACCAAATAAGTCATGATACATGATATGGAGGGCTGCCCAATTTTCTCATTATGTGCATGGATGGTCTCAGTGAGTGTGTAGGAAAGGTCGTGTTGTGGCATTTAAGTTGTCATAAGTAGCCTTGGTGTGAGAAGAGTGTCAAATCATGCTTTCTTAGGTGGTAATGCTTTGAATTTGGTTTTAAATAGTTCATAAATACTATAAGAAGTCATGTTTTTATTCCAACAGGCTGGTTACGGTGAAGTCAACATGGCCACCCATAAAAGCAACTGGTAAAAATTGAATTGTTAAATGCATATATGTTTCTTCATATTTCATGTCATGACCACTCTTATCTTTTGAATCTATTTGTTTTATATAATAAAGAATTAGAAAAAGATTTTTAATGATGACGTCATCTATACATCTGTCCTCCAATAGATCATAAGTGAGAACCAATCAGAATGGGTGCATAACTGAGCTTTTTATATAATGTTTGATAATTTTGCTTTCACAGGAGTGAGCATGAAGCTTCTGTATACAAGACATGGGTAAGGTGCCCATTGATCACTTAGGTCTGCTTTTTGAAAGGTTGGGTTGCTTGACCCAATTATATTACACTGACCTTTCACAATTCAGTTATTAACCCTTTACATCCTAAAAGTGATAAGTATCTAATTTCTCCTTGCTGTATCAGCCCTGAACCACTCATTAGGGTCACGAGAATAAAGAAAATGATTACCAACTAAAGAAGCTCTTGATTGTTAAATGAATTCTCCTTGTCAGCACCTTACAAATATATAGAGAACAGTATGGAGAATATGCATACTGATGTTAGTGTGTAAGTAACATTAGGTTAATTGGTTTAAGCTATTTGTATCGCACAAATGTTTCTTTTTGATATTTTTTCCTCTGTACATTTATAGCTACTGCTACTTTGCATTTGAACACTCTCCATCTTATCAAGAGGTCCAGTTCTTATTTCTGGAGGCAGTGGAATCATTACATCCCAATAACATTTCTGTAAGTAAATTATTGTCACAGTTTTTAAACAAAGACAAAGTGCTCTTAAGCCATGAATCCAATTCATATTTCTAGAGACAGTAGAGTCATTACATCCAAACCACATCCCTTTATGTGAATTATTCTATTGCACCAGTAAACAATTATTGTAATCTCTGCTCTTAAGCCAAATGGCCCATCCAGCAATATCTTATTCTGGTTTCTGTAGCATGAGGGATTATTACGGATTATTACAAAGGTTATTATAAAGATTATGACCAGGGTTATTACCACTCCCCCTGAATGGGCTACTAGTTCACCCAACCCCCCCCCCCCACCCACCTTACTCCAGTATCAATTGTCATGTTTCCCTGACATTTCCTTGAGAGCACTTTTAAACTCTTGTTTGTAAAGAGAGTGAAGTATTTTTGTCCAAGAACACAACACAATAATGTGGCCAGGGGCAGAAACTGAACCCCTCAGAAGCTCAGATTCTTCTGCACCAGCCAGTAGGCCAATGCATCTCATGCACAGCTTCAAATTAACCCTTTCACTCCCTATAGTGACCAAGACAGAATTTCTCCTTAAAATATCAATATGATCTCAAGTGAACAAGTGATAAGAATATAGAAAAATATAAATTAGTGGATTATCATTTGACTGAATACTAAATTCTCCAAACTAAAACTATAAGCAGTGTTTGGTAGATAGTAGGGAGAATTACTAAAGAGATCATGGGAGTGAAAGGGTTAAGCAAAATTATTTTTCAGTAATCTAGATGATGTCTGTGTTTTTATGTTTCAGGCCATTTTAAACACTCATCCATATCATATTGATTCTCTACTGCAACTCAGTGAGATCTGCAAGATGGGAGAAGATTACCAGATGGCTGCCGAGCTGATAGGTGACTGGACAATCTTTGCTATTGGTGCCATTTTGATTCTCTCTTTTGGTTGAATTCCTATGTTGTCACTAATCATGAACAGATTATTTTTAGGTTTACAGCCAAAAAAAAGTTGCTGGATTGTTACATTGTCATTACTTTGACCAACATGAAGTTATTTCTTTGCTAATACTCAGCAGTTGTTTTGTCAATTGGCTTGCCAAATGATTGATTGATTTCCCATAGAAAAAAAGTGAAAACATTTTTGTTCACAATTTGTGTAATTTGTTCAGGTTATAAAAAGGACAGCTTATTTCCTACACTAATTTTTATTGCTGTTTTATTATCAAATCAAAGGTATTATTTCTTGTAGTGCTGCAGTTCTGATGAGGAACAAGTCATAACTATTTTTCTTTAACTCCAACTTATTTCAGAAAGAGCACTATACTGTCTTGAAAGAAGTTTCCATACCTTGTTCAGTCTCACTAATGGGTGGTCAAGACTTGAGTATAGAAGAGCAGAAAACAGGTAAAGAGGGAAAAACTTTGTCTCACCAAGGTTAACATGTGGTGTGACCATAAGTTTTTATGTAAAATATGCTCCGTAGGTGTAATATCATACAAAAGAAGGGGTACAGCAAAGCAATTCGCAATCAAGATTTTAATCTTGTTTCTTGATATATTTAACTTTACCTTTCTTTGTGTAATATAAGCATTCAAAAAGTTGTAACCTTCTTAGCTGGTTAAAGTTGTGTTCACTTTTTTTTCTGTCTTTCTGCAGATCATTCTTCATAGCTTTATTTCGCCAGATCATCTTTGTGGGCCAAAAAGGTACCTAGTATACAGAATGCTCATACTTTTGCCTCATGTATTTTTCCTCCAGTGGTTTGGTATATCACATTTAATGGAGTTCAGCTCAGCTTGACTACTTTGGGCAATGATATACATCACACAATAGCAACAACAGGATTGTGATAGATTCCTTGTAACTGTCTTTACTTTTAACATTTGAGAAAAACTGTGGCTGTTTTAATTTTTTTGTGATTAATGTAATTGGTTAATTGAATTTTAGGATGCTACAGGACATCGCTGGAGTTATGCAAGCTCTTGCTAAGGTGAGATTATTTTCAAATTTAATTCAATGTTTAGTTACTCTTTTTCGATTTTGGGTTATTACATTTTTCTCTGATATTAAAGGTGTGTCTGGTATGTTGACTCCTGTCACTCTTAAATCATCTTTACATTCTTGTTAGAAGAGGGAGAGGAAATTAGACTTAGAATATGGTGAAAAACAGACCCAAAGAGAAGACTTTATTAATTTTTATGGTTTGAAGTAACTTCAAAGTTACTTCATGATTAGCATATTGTTTTTCTGAACAACCTGGCTGGTTGGCAGGACTTATACTTTGAGACAACTGTAAACCCTCTACACCCTGACATCAGTATGCATATCCTCTTTACTGTTGTCTAAACATTCCCTAAGGTGCTGACAAGGAGAATTTGTCGAACGATCTAAAGCTTTCTTAGTTGGTGATCATTTCCCTTATTCTCATGACCTTAATGTTTGATTCAGGGGTAATATTGTAAGGAGAAATTAGATGCTAATCACTCTAAGGGTTCAAAGGGTTAATACAATGTTTAATTTTCCTTTTAGTCTAGACCCAGATGAAGATCCCCTTGGTGTTCTCCTTATGATCGATTTCTATGCGTTACAGTCAGAGCAATTTAGCTTCCTCATACGATTGTTTGAAGAGTGGGAGGTAAACAATGTACAATGAATATCTTAAAGGGATGCCCATATTGTGTGATCATATGGGTTGGAATAGTCAAAGAGCTATTTGTCAGTGGAGTGTTTTAATCTGAGTTGACAGGAACCAGAATTATGACACTCTACTCACTGCAACCTTCACTTGACTCTGATGAAGACTTTGGGAAGGTTGTCGAAACTTCAGTCAGTATAACCGATAACAGTCCTTCACAGGGCTATCCTCTAGCTTTGAAGACTGACCTTTTAGGAAGTTTATAAATGAACTTTTTTTTTCCATTACTGTGAAGCACCACGGAATATTTTTATACGAGTAGTGCGCTTCACAATTACTCCATCATCGTTTATATTATTTTTAACGAACGACCAGACAGCATAATCAACTGAATGAAAGGGGTACGTTTCTAAAGAAACTGTCGTGCTGTGTCAGTGGGAAGATAATTTAGTTTCATCAACTAAGTTGATATTGTAAATTGGCCACATTAGAGAGTTTGTAAAGCTGATGTTTTGAGCGTTAGTCCTTCGTCAGAGCGAATGAAAGATCAACTGTTCCTCCCAGACCTCCTGCATTGAAACCATTTACTATATTCTTCCTTTTGCTTCTGAACTCATCAGGAACTCATAAATGTTATTGTTGACAACTACTTTTATTCCTTCGTTGTGAATTAATTTGGGTTAAATTATGCTCTTTTTTTTTCAAACTTTTCAGCCTCACAGAAACTTATCCCAGTTACCAAACTTTGCTTTTTCTGTGGCTCTTGCATATTTCCAATTCAATAGAAAGCATGGCGAGACCAAGAGAGCAGATGAACTGGTAGGCTGTTGTTTCTTTTCTACATTCTGTGCAAAATAGTATTTTGGGTTATCGAGCAGTTGTTTGATCGTCAAAAGTATGAATTTTACCAAACAATTCTACCAAGCAGATATTGAATGGTTATACCAGTCGAAGCTCTAATTTTTGTTAATCATCACAGCTGTTGAAAGAGCACTTTTCTATGGTCATTGAAACAGTCCCTGCTTCGTCCCACTTTCACTTTCATTACTGCCAGCAATGTTTGGAAGAGGTCTTATCAAAAGACCAAAGTAGATGGAAAACTGTTTGATGCTCGTTTATAACTTTTTCAATTTATTTTTTTGTGAAAAAAGACCGCTAATTTTAAGGGGCTTTTGTTTAGTCAACGTGCAACAGGACTCTCTTTTCCCATAATCATCCCTCTCCAGCACTGGAAAAACTGTGTTCTCTCTTCCCCCCCCCCCCCCCCCCCCCCCCCCCCCCCCCCCCCCACTTTCCCTAGCACCACTTTCAAACTTCAGTCTAATTACATCTAGTACTACCAATATTTCTACGATGTTAGTTACTCTGTTGGATAGAAGATAGAAAAGAAATCGGATCGCATAGAGACCCAAAAGTTCATTCTTTATTTTAATTGTGCAACGATGTACTATTATTTCAGCTCCAGGCGGCATTGATTATGTTCCCAATGGTATGTGTCACTGCTGTCTGTTTTGGGTTTGTTTTTGATTAGCACAAACTTTAAATCAGAATTATGACAATTCCAAATTTAAAGGAGTATGCTCCGTAACCCACTCTATAACATTTACTGTGTTTTGATACTCCTAAGGGTTACTTAACCGTTTTAAAATTTTTTCACAACACAATACAGTGTAAACACTCAAGTTATGGCCATGATCATTTCTGCTTTAAGAATGGTAAAAAAACGAAGGAGAAATTTCTTTCGTGATAGTATTGAAAACTGTAACACCTAGGTTGTTTACTGACAAGAGTTGTCGAGCAGATTTATGCTAACTCGCAGGAGCCATGTATTGATCTTTTGAGCCGTTTTTTTTTCGCACCCTACAGAAGCACCTTCAACTAGTTAAAACCTTTGAATCACAAGCCCTGTAGGATAGAAAACCCGACACAGGTGTTATTCCGAGGAGGCACAGGACAGGCTAAACGTAGGCCGCGAAAATTTTTTAAGTCTGTGACCCTTCGAGGCAAATCAAAGTCATAACAACATTGAAAAGTCAAAAGGAATAGTCGCTTTGCGATCTTACTGTTAGCGTTTTCTTTGTTTTCATTCTTATCATGTTTTTACTGATCGTAATATTTTGTTAGGTTTTATCTCCTCTCATGGAAAAGTGTAATGTTGCATTGGACTCAAGCCTCATTCAGCATCCATTTTTCTCCCCTGTCAAAGCAAACAGGTATTTCCATTGTATTCTTTAACCTTCTCACTTCCAAGATCTCACTAGGAATTCTCCTTACTGTCTGCTGTACAATTCCCATGATGTTAGTTCGGAGAATTTGGTATTGGATCAACAAATAATTTCCTAATTTTTATATTTTTCTGTATTTTCATCACTTTTTCTTCTTGGTATTGTATTGGTATTATAAGGAGAAATTCTTTCTTGGTCGCTCATGGGAGTTAGATGTGATTTTTATCCCCTGCGTCAAAAAGTATGTGGTGCGAATTTCCTACTTAATACGGAAGCATGACTAACCGTTCGAAATTCGTCTTCACTGTCGAATGGTCTGTCAATTGAGCTACAAAGGGTTCCTTGGCGAGCGGGGCCTTGTACTAGGTTCATATGCGACAAACGTTTTGTATACTGTGAGGTCCAGCAATGTTAAAAGCGTCGTGTGTGAGAACAGATCGAGTGAGAAGGTAAATATTGAGTTCGCTCGTCGAATATTTAACAAATAGAGGACATAAGTCAGGGGATAAACAAAAAATCTTTATTCCGACCGGACCTCGATTCTCAATCCTTTCTAGATATCCTGTCATTGTGTGTTATTTACACGCACGGAAACTAAAAGAAGCAGCCTTCGTCACTTCCGTCACTTAGATTGAAAATATCCTAAGAGGAAGGAAATTCAGCGTAAAAATATGCCAACAAGAGATATAGTGGACTTTTTTCAGAAAGGAAGTCCTTCTTTTATGTATTACACTATGCACAGTTGGTTTATTTTTTAATATTTGGTTTATTTTGTCTGTAGTGAGCCCCTCGCTTTAAAGCAGTTGGAGGCTCTATATGTTGGTAGGACTTACCATGCGTGGAAAGAACCTGAGGTAGGAAACACAACTGCAACACCAATTTGATACGCTCCTTATAAAATGAGACAACGGCCAAAGTCAAATGCTCTTTACGTCGGCGCTCGCAGTCAACTAGTCGAGCTGATATGTTGTAGTATCAGGATTGTTATTTACTTTGCGCTGTACTCGTGATATTTCACTTGTCAACAACTTTGATGGTTGACATGAAAATAGGTGGGTTGTTGACCGCATGGTTGTGTTGTTCGATTCACGACCAAGATGAACTAGTTTGTACGACCAAAATCCTGACATAGTTTCATAGATTTGCTGATAGCCTAACAATTTTTTGTTTTCTTCGTTTTCTTTCATTTAGCATGAGTTAAAGGTGCTTAAACTTCCTCAGAAAAATCTCACATCAAAATAACCTGGTTCGTGCCCTGTCATAAAAAACTTCTTTTAAGCAAAGGAAAAGGGGCGAAACTTCTAAGAACCCTCAATATTGTTAGACCAAGGGGATAAGTTTCTAAAGGAACTGTGGTGCTGCGTCGGCGGGGCGTTTAACAAGATATTCTGGTTTAATCAGCAGAGTTGATAATGGAAATTGGACACCGTAAAGAGTTTCTAAAGCTGACGTATCGAGAGTTAGTTCTTCGTCAGAATCAGTTAATACCCAGTAGGGAAAAATACATATTTTAGCTAAGGAAGTAATATGTACCATTTCAGGTGATCGACTGGCTCGTCTTAAATACCAGAAAAGTCATGGAAAGAGTAGAGGCTGGAGATACTTTGGTGGAAGAGTGCAAACAAAAGTAAGTTTTGTCTTGTGTATACTTTTTGTTCTGACTAAATCGCGTTGAGTCCAAATCTTGTGCAAAGGTACTTCTCTGTGCAGTGAATGTAGAGCAATTTTCGATCTAGTTTCGAAAGTAATCCTGGACTGCTTTGGTTTTGCTATACCTCGCTCTTTGATTGGTCCAGAAAACTCGCGCTACTCTCTCAACCAATCAGATGCAAAACTAAAACAAGTCACGATTTGGTCACTCGCGTTTTCCCGCGCTTCAAACAGTTCGGTTGGTTTTACTTTGAGTTCTCATTGGCTCTCAAAGATATTTTCCTCTCTTCTGATTGACCGTTATTATTACTTTGATTTTGGTTTTAAGACACTATCGAAAAGCGCTCGAAATGATTGATTAGTAATTGTGAGTTAAATAATTTTACGTGTCATTTATACGTGACTTTAGTTTTATTACTAACAAAATAATGGTTGTTTTTGTTGCTACACCTTTTAACTAGATATTGTTACTTCGATTTTGGTTTGACAACAGACTTAACGTAGACCTCTTTCATCACTTAACCCTTTAACTCCCAAGATCTGATTGTCAATTCTCCCCTCTAGCTGCTACACATTTTCCTTTTAAATTGGTTATGAGATTTTGGTGTTCGATCAAGGTAATATTTTTGTACCTGATAAGTTTTAGTATTCTCACTACCTGTTTCCAGAATGATGTACGGATATTATCGGGAGAAGGTACATGTCAATCACTTCTGGGAGTTAAAGGGTTAAATTTTGTAAACATCCTATAAAGCCAAAATCAGAACCACTTGTTGAATGTTAGGTTCAACTGAGCAGATATTAAGACCCAGCGTTGCGATTTCATTAATTAGTATATACTTAAACAGTGGATAGCGTTGAAGGCACGCTATAATTAGCTACTAAAACACCGAATATACTTTTCTATTCACCTCTTGGAAACTCGCACAGGATTTGCCCCCGAAATATTGTAATCGTTGCAGAAATAATTGAGTTAAAATCATTTTTTTGGCTTTATTATCTCACTGTTTTAGTATATATTAAAGCAGCTATTAACTTTCGTTATTGATTTTCAGACGACAAGTGCGTTATAAAGGAACACCCCGAAATATTTACCGGCACTTAGTCATGTCTGGTGAGTGAACTTTCCTAACCTAGAAGCAATTAGCACTTTGTTGTCAAAAATGATCCTGAATTGTCTTGGTTTTGCTTAGCTTTGCCTTGCGATTGGTCAATGAAGATCGTACCGCCCTCTCAAACATTAAGATGGAAAAATAATATCTTTCGCGTTTTCCGCCGTTTGAGGCAGCTGGTTTGTTACTTTTTATTTCTCAGTGACTCTGTCCTATTTTCCTTTTCTCTAATTGGCCGTGTTAGCTATGGTTTTGAGTTTATAACCATCAATCGAAAATCGCACGAAGAGTCTTGAGTCATGAGTTCATAGCAAAGTGACTAAACTGTCCTTGCCTCGACAATCCTCGCATCCGTCATCACGATTGCACTGTGTTACTACTTAAATTAAACGTTGGAAAGTAACTCGCGTGGAACTTAATTTGCAAACAATTTGGTTTAATCTTATTGATATTCATATTGTGTATTTGAAATTTTGGAATTTTTTTACCTGTGACGTTACTGAAGACACCCGAGCCAAGAGAAGTGGCACCCGCGCCCGTCGAACCACTCCAGTTATAACTAAGCCCTCCACCCCTGCTTCCTGCTAATCCTTCTTATTTCATCATGGACCATTTTTAAAGGAACCGTCCAGAAGGGGGGTATTGGATGCGCTGCATTGCATTTCAGCATATTTTATTATTACTTGAGCGAGGCGGAAGAGGGCGAAGAGTGTTATTCTTTTCGCATAGGACATCGTCAATAGGGGGCTCGTTGAATTGGCCGATTCCGTGGTAATTGATGTGTGGAACTGCGTGGGCTTGTTCGACTTTAAATGCTTCCTAAGATAAGCCGATGGCTTCGTTTATTGTTAAAATGTTTGTTTTTCTGCAATAGATATCAAAGACGCTGCTGTGTCACTTCCCATGGTGAGATGTTTTTAACCGTTTACACTCTAACATCAGCATTTATTTTCTCCATACTGTACTCTGTATATTTCCTATGGTACTGACAAAGAGAATTTGTTAGACAATCAAGAGCTTCTTAAGTTCGTGATCATTTCCTTTATTCTCATGACCTAACCTTTTTTTGTTTTAGGGGTGATACTGATAGGGGAAAATAGTTACTAATCAAAGTGGTTCTTCCACCTTTCTTAGTTATGCATGTGTAACATCAACTTAGTCTCAATAGTCCCGAACTCCTTCTGACAAACTTCTGATTATCAATATTAAAGGGATTTATAGTCTGAAATTGTTAAATTGCTGTTTCAACTAATCAAAGCACGTTATATCGTTGTTTATTATGCATTTTTACTATCTCGCCTCAGGATTTGGCGAATGTTCCCCTTGTGTCGTATGATCCCCTGCCTCCTCGTGATTCAGTGACAGGATATTCAAGGCCACCGAGGTAGCGTTTCACCTTTTTATGATTAGAAGAATTTGTGTATCAATGTACCCAACTGTCTTTGCGATTTCCTTTATTTTTCACTTCTTTCCTGTTAATGCATGTTAGCTTTGTGACAGAAGAGTAGTAAAAACTGAATTGTTGATTCTGGACATGGACCGCAATCAGCGATCGTCTCTTTCCTTATTTTATTATAGGAATGTATCAGACTAGAGCGAAGGTGATACAGAATTTCTTTGAACCCAGCCAAGCGTGTTTTTACTCAGTTGAAATTTTTGATGTTTGTCAGCCATCGTCTTCAAAATTAATGATATCGGTTTTACGCACGTGAATGTTTGAATGCATTGATATTGTTAGCGTCATGGATTATGCGCGCACAGTCGTGACCGTAAAGTGTGCAAAAACGAGATCATCAGTTTTGAGAAAGATGGCTGACAATAACTCAAGGATAAAAAATAGTTTAGCATGTTGAAAGACAGCCTAAATGATTTTTTTTGGCTGTTTCATTTTCTCATAAAAAGAAAAATAAATTAAATGCTAGAATTAACATCATAACTCGTGACAATTTTACAACAACCATTGAGCTTCCCATATTGAAGTTGCAAGGGTCAATTAATTTCTTTTTTTTTTTTTATAGAAGGGTTGAAACTGTTGGAGAAGACTCTGGCCCTCTGTCCATGTTTTTTCGCTCGCTTCTACCTTCGTTCAGTGCTCAGACCCGTAGTGGACCACGCGTGGAAGTGAGGCTTGAGCAGCCTGTGGAGGGAGCAGAAGGTGGACCCAGACCTCTACGGGACACAGAGCTTGTACGGGGCGTGGAAAACTTGATGGTCGCTATGAGAGAATTACTAAACACCCTAAGCTACCGTGGACAGCCTGAGGAGGCTGGAGGCGAAGAAGGGGAAGATGGTAGAGAAGAGAATCATGCCGAAGATGACTGGGAGGAGGAATGGGATTAAAATTTCAGAATTATTGCTTTTCCCTGATCCTCTGAGTCGGTGAGATCTTCTAAATAGTAGTTTTAGTATACTGGTGACGAATACTGTCGGGCAAGTTGTCAAAAACCCAAGACTGCCTTTGACCATGAGGAGATTCTGCGCAAAACTTAAACGAAAATTTTCTTCATAATATGTCCATAACCTCGCCAATGGCTGCAACCGTAATGAAGGAATAATCAGTCCACGAAAGAAGTTTTGAGACCATTACGTTAAAGAAAGGAAACCATCTTTTCTTGATGAGATGTGGGAACAATATAAGATTCATATCTTAACGGCCATTATGAAATAAAAACGAATGACAAGAAGTGGTTTGTAATCAATACGATCGAGGGGAATATAACTGAATGAAACTCAGTTTTATTGTTTAACGTATTTTGTACAGAGGAGGCTAGTAATGGGCCAATTAGCTTTGGACTCAGTCGTAGAGAATGAGGCACCTTTAGGGCACCTTTGAGGCACCTTTAAAAAAACTACCGCGATTTACGCATAGGGAGATTGTGAACGCGCGTTATAATTCCGAATATTATTTGCGGAAAGTGACCGTATGTGCGATATACAAGTTTGCGTCCAAAATTGTAACTGGCGCATGTGGAAAATGGCAAACGCGGAATTCGAGACTTACTACTCCACCCGCGAACACTTTGTCGGTTGCAGGTGGACGCTGTCATTGGGTCAGTGGTATGCAACATCACAAAAAATGGGAAAAGGTTGTCGATTGATTTATTTAATAAAAACGTGCTTTGGGAAGAGGATTTATATTACAATTAATTGGATTAGATTATCTATGTACTGCTGAAAATGCAAGAGTTTATTTAGACCATATCCAATAGCTCGGGGTTGTAGATACGCCCAACTGTCGTGATGTGTTACCGAGATCCTAGACGTGATGGAAAGTTATGCAAGTATTTGAACTGTCGGATACTACACGCGGATTTGCTCTTCTGAACGTAAGATAAATCGGTACAAGTCAACTCTGCTATATGTCAAATTTGTTATAACATTATCGAACCAGTCGGTTTAACTTATATAGGTATAAATTCTAAATGCTGCAAGAGTATCCATGGATCGATGTATAGCACCAGACATGACAACCTCTTTTTTCACCAGATCGGTGTATGTGAAAACTTACAGAGCGGAGATTCTCTCTTTTTGGGGTTTCAAATCGGATGTGGTTTCAAATCGGATGTGGTTTCAAATCGGATGTGGTTTCTATATCTTATTACTGTACCACGATACTGCACAAATGTGCCATGTGTTATGCAAAAATAAAGCGAGGTTTTTTTTCTCACTATTTTTGCACAATTTCAGTTCTTACTCTATGTATTATTACCCAATTATTTCCCATAATCAGGTGCAGCAATATTTCTTTTGTTTTCTCTAAAGACCCGGACGGAGAATTATTACAACATTACATTGAACTAGGATCTGAGGGACGATTTCATCCATCGAGCAACCGTCTTTCTTAACTGTGTTCTATTATCTTCATTTTTGTGTAAGATTATCGGATTCTTTCCCAACGGAAACAGATCACCGCCTTAAACGAGGCGAAATTATTTTTCCATATCTATTCACAACAGGCTTTAGTCACGGGTTAAAAAAACCCGTACTTTTCATAGAAATCAATTACAGTTCTAATCGACGATCCGACCCCGAGAATGGTTACATCTATCCCGAAACATAGCAAAAGGATATGAACAATAATTTGACGCAAATGTAACTGCTTGTATCTTAGCTCAAACTACAGGACACACGGGAAGATGGTCTCCGAAAAAAGGCCCCAATGAACTTCCCGAAAATACCACAATAACGTAAAAACTTGGGAGTAACATGGCCACTGCGATCGTCATCGAAACAAGTGTGACTCGCACAATTTACTTTAAGAAGCTTGCTATTTTTTAGCACTCTGAAGATGTGTGGTCGCGTAAATTGGTTAAATTATGATCCCGCCTATACTCGTCCTATCCTCTATCCCGCTTTTGAAAGCATATCCCGCTCTCGCCTTCCTATTTTCATCTCGCATCCCGCATTTTAAATCTCTCGTATCCCACATCCCGTCCCGCCCCGATTTGAAGCCGCATTCCGCATCCCGCCAAACCCATGTTCGACCCTCTTTGGATAGGTTCCGGGGGAAGTTTGTTTCTAACAGCTTCGAGAGATGCAAATAAAGAAAAAAGTAACTTTGTCATAGCGCTTACATCATATGCTGAAGCGAATGCCTCGGCAAACTTTTCTTTCTTTACCATACTACCCTCTATGGAAGGAAAAATCACTTTTGCGGCACTACTATACATTATGACGGTGAACGAATTGATGGTTCCCACACTGTTCTAAAATAAGAGAGTATCAAAATTCTACTCGTGCCTATTTTCTGCTCCACACCATACGACAATTATTACACTGTTTTGTATTTTTATGCGACAGAGAATACGAACGTTTGAAGCTTTGATGAGAGTGCCGTTTTGGAACATAAGGGAGCGTTTATTTGCACTAGTTGAAATAAAAAGCTATATCGCGTACTTAACATTTCCTACTGTAGTCGTGTATTAGAATTTGCATATCTCTTTAGCGCTCTAACGAAACTGTGTTTTTCTTTGTTTGCATTTCTTTCCTGCGGTGTAAACACTAATGAAGTTGCCGTCAACAATCTTCCCCCGAGGCCTTCTCATGTCACTATTTTCTTAGTGGTATGTTTCGGGCTGGCTGTAGCAGTACTTTTTTGCGGGATCGCTTGTGAAACTCTGCGAACAGTCAAGCATAGATACAAAAGGAAAGGAGATTAAGTAGAGACATTTTGGACGATAAGCTGACGACATGTTGATATGACAGTAAAGGGGTTTATAAACTGATCGTCGGTCAGTCGACAGATCGGTCGGCTATCGGTCGGCAGTCGGTCGATGAACGTTTACTAGTCACTCGACAAGTCGTTCCGTCGACCGATACATCGGTAGAGGCTACCTATGGTTTACATGATCGTAATACTGCACAAGAGTTTCAACCGCGGTGGAAGTTTCGACTGTGGTGGAAGATGCGGCTAAACTGGAAAATTTGCAAAACAAAAAAAGGGCCCTGAAGGGACTGTTGTATCCTAGAAATAAGTGGCAAAGATTGTGGGCGTAAATGCCTAAAGCGTAAAAGCTAAATTAATATGATTGATCTGACGAAGAAGTGAGTCGCGTCAGAACTAACCAGCGATCCGGCGAGCTCGACCGTGTAGCAGCGTAAGATTCTGTTTTTGAACAGATGAGCGCTTCCCCGCAAAAGGAATGTATGATATCAGGTTACATAGATACAAAGCCAATTTTCAGTTTAGGAACACATTTAGTGATGAAGAAAGATCTAGTGATATAGAAAAACTAAGTGATCTTTTAGATAATTGTGATTTTTTTTTTTGCTGCCTTTATTTTTTTCCTTTTATTAAGGACATTGATCGGTCTGTTTTTTCATTCATTAGTTTATCTATTCATTTATTTTTGGGAAAAAATTAAAAATATTGGAAGAGACCCAATCCTTGGCCCGCTCCTTCCTTACAATTGCCCCTGACGTAATTCCATTTGCTTTTACATTAATATTCAGATACTGTACACAGCAATTTTTTTTTTACGTTTGCATCATTCATGTTTTTAATCTTTTTGGAGTTTTTCTAGATTTTCTGGCATCTGATCTTAACTGAGGCGTGCTGATGACAAAATGTATTTCTGAAATGTCGATTAAAATCTGTCAACTGTAGATGTATGTTTTTGCAGAAATGAACTTCATTAGCATAACAGTCGTAAACACAAAACAGCTTAGGGCTTTGTTTGTTGTATGGGGATAATTACCTCATTTCGGCACCGTTTAAAAGCCTTGACGCTGTTTAATTACCCTTCTTGTGTATATTTGCCCTCAAAACCTGTTCCAGTATTCTTTTGGTAGTCTCTTGGGACACAACGTTACGCTAGATCTCCTGGAATGTAGTGTTCAGCTGGTTAATCTTTAAAATCGTTTCACTCGCGAGTCGTGTTCCTTCGTCACGATAGTGACCTCACGGTAACATAATCGCATCACTGCATCACAGCATGAGCTAAGATCGTCTGAAGTATTTCACGGATTTCTCAGAAGTTACGTGATCGAATAGTTAGATCAATCGACTACCAGAGCGGCGGTATTCAAAACAACCTTGTAACGAAGGTAAGTAAACTTATCTATAAGGAATGCGGTTGCCACTATTTGTGTTTGAATGATAGCAATCTTTTCAGGTTATCTGTGTTTTATATGCATAGCGTAATCGATTGTGAACCTTTGAAGTTTTCAAACATGAAGCTTCAAAACCCTGGCGATGTCGAAAATTTAAAATGGGACATACGAAACAGCGCTCAATACGTGAATTTTGCTTTGTTTTCAAAGTGACAAGAGCAAAGAAAGTAACTGTACACTATTACAATGTAGAACGCTTCACTACGCCAGTTGAGAGAAGGTTTTAATTGATATCCTTCTAAATCAGAATTGAAAGGTCAGACACAGATATAAAAACCGAGAATTCATGACAAATAATCCGAATATCGTCGTAATACTTCTTCGTGAGAGAAACCTGAGCACTTAATCCTGATATGTATTCAACGCAATGTTAAATCTTCGACGTAAATCTCGATATAACCAGACTTAAGCAATTGTACTTCTCTTAGCAGGTATGGGTTAAATTCTAACCAAAACAACCATACTTGTTAAAAATAGCTTTCTGCAAGATTGGTATTTAATTTCCAAGGGTAGAAGGACATCTGCCGGTTAATTCGAGAGCAAAACCCGCCTTCCTGAAAAGCCCAAGAGTGCGATTAAGTAAAAACATAAGAACGCATTAGCATTTAAATTACCTATCTTTTTTTCCCATCCGAAAACAGTGCAACATGTCATTAATGAAGGCAAGTCGTAAGATTTGCATGTTGTGTTTGGCCCAAATAATGTTTTTTCACTCTAGCAGACGAGCAGAGTGCTACTGTTACTCAGGCAAATGATTCATGTTGTGTACAATTCACATATGTAGCATTTCAGTCGAGAAAATGTATTTACATTGTAAAAAGAAATATGTTTCGATTCGTTTACATGTAAGCCGACTGTCCCAAAAAGTTACAAAAGGCCACTAATTAAAACGATCAATGGTGCAGTTTTGACATTTTGATAAGCTTAATGTATTTTCTCTGTAAATTTGTTCTCTGTCTCAAATTATTTCAAGAAAAGGAAAACCGTTTGGTACTGTAAAACTCATAAGTCTTAACCAGTCTGACATTATTCGTACTTCAGCCAGGAAAATTATTTTATCCTTAGGCCATAGGAAAGCCTCAAGGATCTTCGTTGTCCTTGTTATTCCTAGGTACTCTTTCATCAAATTGCCTATTCCTAAGTTACATACAATCTGTTGACTATCGCCTTTGTTACCTTCGATTGCCTTACACTTACACAAATTACCATATTTATTTTAGTGTTAAATTCAACGAAAACAAATATCAGACGTCGTCTCCTTCTCCATTGTTACTTTTGCCGACTGAGCTTTTTTCTAAATCACTCAAGGTTAGCTCTGTTTTTTCGTCTTTTGTTTTAATTTTTCAGCTGCTTAGGTTTTCCGGCGCAGTATTTACAAGCGACTTTGAGGCCTGTTTCATAGGTGAAGGGACGCGAAGAGCGTGGGTGATAAATCGAAGGGGAAAAACGAGGTACTGTAAATAACATTAAAGCCTTAGAAGACATGGTTAATAAGCCATTTAATTCGGGAAATGACTCGTAGTCAAGCGGAATGGCTTCTAAAGACTGGCAATTGTAAAGAGTCTTTCAGTTTTTTGTAAGTTCTAACGTACACTTAAAAGAAAACAAAAGGGTAAATTTTCATTTTTCTGCGAAAGTTTAGTAGAATTGGCGATAATCACATGTAATGTGAGTTTTTAGTAGCAAAAACAACCTAAAATTTTTGTTCCCGAATACATATACAGTCCACTGAGTTGACCAATCACAGTGCGCGTTGTGAGAGATACAATAAACCCTTATCGATCTCGTGCTGTAACCAAAACAACTCTACTAAGTGTGAAATATGTTTTTCTTTTCTTATTTAAAGAGGCTCTTTACTTCAAGAATAGTTTAGAGTTGAAGATGTGTGATGGTCTTACTAGGCTGTTAAAAATGCCAGTCGGAAATGAATGTTAAGCTTACCTTTAGGTCACGAATTAGTGATTATTAAGAGAGAGTTTGAAAATGACTTAATCCCCAAATGTTCATTTCTCAGAAATAAGTTCGTTGATGTGGTCGTACTGATATACTGTCATTTAATTTCTGTGAGGTCTGTTTATATTTTACTTCATCATCCTCACTTGTTTATGTTTGTGAATCGTCGACAATAACCTTTTTTTGGTGTCTTAAAAAAACTGCCATGTGATATTTCATCAGCATCATCTGTAATGAGTAAAAATAACGTAAGCTCTTTAAGGTAGGGTTTTATCTTCGAGTGCTGTTAGAATTAATTCTCGTGTGCGCACTTAAGACTGCTCGTATTTCAGTTTACGCAAATTCCAAGAGGAGATGGTACTGCTCCAAATACTGGGATGCATTGTTATAAATCAAAAGCACAGAATGTATTCCGTGATGCTTCAAGACACTTTCTGTTAAATATTTAACGTACAACCGCACTAAAAAAAAATCGCGCGTACCACATTAAGTAACCTTCCTTGGAGCGCCATTGATTACTACGATTCTAAACTTGAATCCCCGAAAAGATCATGTCCACCCCCCTCCCCCTTGAGGAAGATCACTAAAAAATGTTCCTAACTCAAAAAGTCATTTACAGTGACTCAAAACCCTCCTCTTCTCTCACAAAATCTCTTACACACTGCGAAAAAGAGGAAGCCAATGTGCTTGAAAGCTAAAGCTAAAGCACACATCCTTAGGATAAATTGCTTTCATAAATCATTCAAAAAAATTTTTTTAAAACTTTTTTCCCGCAGGAGACATGTCTTTTAAATTCAATAAAAAGGCCGTGGTAACTGGCGTGAGCTCAGTAGAAGCAGACAAGTTCTTAGTGTACGCCCAAACAGTGAAGAAAGTCTCATCAGAAAATAGCTGTGCGCTGGACAGGAATATTTTTTGTGTCGACGTTGGGGCGGCGGCATTAAAAAAACAATCGAAAAAGGAACGAAAATGGTTAGAAGAGGAATTGGAAAATGCTAAAATAACTGCTGGGGTCATTATAACGGTGAACGGAAAAGAGAGATACGTCAAGACAGAGGTACGCTATGACAGGATCACGTAGGGCAGTGATGCATTTTTATTTAGAAGCGTCGTAAGGAAGGAGGCTGATATGTAAGGTGTTTTGTAGTTAAGCCTGCAAACTGAATGGTGAAGGCAATCGGTAGTTCTTCGCCCTTATTTCAGTTGTTCGGTTGACTGTGAATTGACTTGGCACTTGTTTTTGGCACACTGGCTCACTGTTATCAAGAACGACAAACTCTCTTAAATTTCATCACCCTCTTTTCAATTGCAATGTCTCTTTCGCACCTATTCTGTCAGTCGTAGTGTCACACAATATAGGCATCGTTGCGTGACGGGCCATGAAGCGGGCGCGAGGGGGGATATCGTTTAGTTGCTCTAATGAAGTAATGATTAAGTCGCGGTGTAAAGCGAAATAGCAAGAATTACATAAGTGCACGACTGTTGCCTGACGTCGGCGCGGTAAAAAAACTCTTATTATGAGATCGTTTAAAAAGATTCGAATGCCTACAGAAATTGTATTCACGTAACCCTTCTTTTTGTCCTTACTATAGGTGGAGAATATAGATCACCTGAGACTACTCGGTTCTCAAGCTTTCCAGCTATTCTGTCCAGCTTTTGGGTCAGTTTCAGACAACGAGATCTTCAACACATCATATCCAACGGCCTCAATTGACCAGGCGCGCCGTCTGGTGTGTGCAGAACAGCCGGTACCCAATTTACGCTGGATGCAGTGTAAAAACGTTTCATTAACTTATAATCAAACCAAGGGTATTAAAGAAGCCACCCTTTTGGCTGTTGACATCGTCCATATGGAGCGCGCCGGAAAACTGGTCTCAACTTCGGTTCAACAAACTGTCACCGCTAAGCTTAACTGCAAAACGTTCTTATCAAAAGTGGACCCTAAAAGTCCCGGCCCCTTTAGTTTTAGCCCCGCTCTTGCCTTGGTAAAGATGGTGGACGAGGATGTACCCGCCCCACAACCCCGATCGTGGGCAGAGATTGAAACTCTTCTCATCCATTAACTAACTGACTTTTTGTTTAAGGGGGGAGGGGGAAGGCGCACCTGTTGACGTGAATAAGAAAATGGCACAAAAATTGGTGCAGTTTCATTATAAATATCTTAAATATTGTGAAAAGGGCGTCCTTCCAAAATTCCAAATTCCAAGTATTTTGTGCAGTATGACTTAATTTCTTTGATTTACCATCTCAATCTCAAAATGTATCTCACTTTTCCGGTAAATTGAACGTAATTCATTTTATACTTGGTGAACATTTTAAAACAATGGAGGAAAAGTGTGATTAACTAATCAAATAAAGTGACATAACTTAAATTTTGACCCAAATGTCCCTTTGTTCAAAGAGGATTCCCACCAACATACCAGATTCATTTACGCCGGTGAACCGCTGAGAAAACACGTACAGTGTTCACTTGATGAGTCAAGAAGGCTTGCACACACAAATGTAAATACCTCTTACTAACCAAGTTTGAGGTCCGTTTTGTAAGTTAAGGACTGATTTTTTTTCCGGTCTAATTTATCCCTCAAGAGCGGTGTCGCTTAATGCAGGTTCGAATGTAAGTTTGGGAAATTTTGAACGTCGCTGTCTGTAAGCGATACGAATTTTTCCGTGTTTTTTTAGCGGCCATAATCCCAGAAAATTCGACAAACGAAAGCTTTCAACCTGACCGAATGGCGCGAAAGGCGAGTGACGTGTCAGCAGCTGATTGGCGATGTCAAACACACGTAAACAATTATCGTGATTCTTCACATGTGCTGTTACGGCTTTTCTCAGGGCTGGAAATCCTTGAGAAACACCGTACTTTATTTGATAAACAATGGTTACAAAACTCATTCACTCCAACATTTTGAGGGCTAAAGAATAGAGTAAAAAGGATTCATACAAAAGTGGAAACCAGTCGGACAGAAGACAAAATATTTTCTTTTTATCAACTGAGTTGATAACGTAAACTGACCACCGTAAAGTGTTTGTAAGCTAATGTTCGCTTTGGCAAACTGACACGTGCAGCACCACAATTTCTTTTGAAACTTTCCCCCTTTGACAGAAGGTTAAGCCTGTTAAAAATTCATCTCTAGGAGACAAATTCTTGCACAATGTACGTGTATCTTCGTTTGATTGTATAAGGCGACTTGATCACATCTGAATAGGTAGCCGAATTTTCCACAGTCCATTAATACATGTTTTCGTTTCTTGAACGATTCTGTGAGTTGGTTGCGCCGATTGTCTTTCTCTTTGTCACGGTGTTTTACACTGTAAAGTGTTTGAATCCACCTACTCTAAACAAAGGCAGATATTTAGATTCCAAAGCTGTAGATTAAGAGCTCAGTGCCTCGTTGCCTTCCTCAGGAACCATACATTGCCTACAGAATGGCGCAAGAAGTTCTGAGAAATTGGATTTTAACGTTGCCAATGATGACGATGAAACGCCTCGTGCAAATTTTTCAGCAGAAAAGACACTTACATTCTTCAGCCCTGAGTAGGCTTAGTAGATAGGGAATGACTTGCTTTCTTTAAGTTAAACCCATGTTTGAAACTGGGGACTTTTGATACGACATCGAGATCCTCTAACTTCCTCTTGTTAAAGAAGATGGCTTTAATCGCTATCCCGAGTGTATAGGAGAAAAAAATACTCAACTACTTATAAGAATCATTTAAAAAATGAAAACATAAGTCAACCTGAGGACTTCTGTGACGACTTTGATAAAAGCTGTCGAAAGATCACATGAATTAAGTCACAGTATGAATAACGTCCTGTAATAAGGTAAAATGGGCGACTCTTTTAAGAAGAGAAACATGTCATGTATGCCCAACGTTTAGCTAATGTTTCCATAGAATATCAGTAAAATATGCAGTGAAATATCGATCTGCTTAATACGTGCAAAATAAATTTTCTCTTATTCAACACTAAAAGTTTCTCTACATTAATCAAACGTGAAGAACGTTGTTGCTCAATTCAAAGGAAGAGACGAAAGAAAAGAAAAGTCATCCTTCTTCGAATATTGGAGATTTAATTAATCCAATCACCCATGAGAGCATACGCAGTGAGGACTACCTTAAAGGTGAGTTACCACTTTTAATAGGCCATTATACAGTTGTGTATTTAGTTGCCAAGCCTTTGACTTGGAGTGAAACTGAAGGTGACCTTGTTGTGATAGAGACCAGTATCTAGTTAGCATGATAACAAAGTAATTTGCATTTGAAAAGCAGCAAGGTAAACAAGGTCAACCTTAGCCTCACTCCTGTTCAAAGGCTTAGCAACCTAGCATGCAACTGTAAAATGAACTATTGCCAAATTTCAATCATGTTTTTATTCTACCACATGACCACTTATAGGGGGAATTACTTTCATGATGTTTTTTGTAAAATTAATCACCTCTTAAATGTCTCAACGCTGGAAAATTGTAACGTTTAGTTTTAACTGTAACCTGTGGAACCGATCCAGAAATGTCCTTTTTCAAATAGTAGACGTCTTTGGTCTTCAGGGCCATATATCTGCTGGTTCCTTTAGTGGGACTAATCAGTATACATTGCCTCATTCCCTGCTGTTGCAATCTTTAATTAGACAAAAGAAAATGTATCAACCTTGGTGCATGCGTTTAATACAAACAAAGAACCAAGTCAATTTAAGTAATATCTAATCTAAAACCGTATGAACAAACTACATCCTGGCAGTGATCCATTCTTAACATGGCATTGCCACATTTCAATTACGAGTCAAAGCTTCTTCAGTCTGGATTAGAGCTCAAATTCAACACCTATCAAAGCATCACCTTTAATATCTAAATAAATGTTGGAGTATGTCTGGTTATTAGTAAATTCTTAAAAACAGACAAAAATATGACCTCAGTAACGCTCCTTCTACCCAAGTTACAATTTGCACAGGACATACCTGATTTCCTTGACCAAGTGTGTCACTCCTGTCTCCAACTGCTGCACCGCATTCTGGGCATTCGCCTACTACGTTACTGGGATGCCCGTTCGGACACTTGTGCCATAGTCCTTGGGAGAAGTTCATTGGCCTGAAAATTTTAATTCGCTCTTCTGCAGGCAGACTTTCCAAATCACATTCTTCTCGGATCTCGTTTATTGTACCTTCAATGTGATCGAAAGCTTCTTTCCCAAGCTTTTGGCCAGCGTCCAGCTTCCTGCCCAGTGTCTTCAGCCACTTTTCTTGGTCAGATGCGACAGTAATGGAACCTTCCTCGATTTTACACTGAATCACTCGAATGTTCAGCGAGAAACTCACACATACGAGTTCATCCCGTATATCAACCAGCCTCTGATAAGAAACTTGAAACTTCATTAGATCTTCTTCTAAATGATCAAGTGCTTCATCAATGTCTCTTGCTGCTTGTAAGAACACATCATCTGAGTGGCTTGCACTGGGTGGTGTTAGTACTCCATAACGAGTTTTTTTCAAAAGATCCAGCTTCATTCTCTCTCTTATCTTGTATATTTGGATCAGTATCCTCATCTGATTCTTAATTGTACTCAGCTCGGCCATAGTTTTCCTTTGCTGCAGCCAACCCATTAAAATATCGTAACTTGAAGAGCTGAACATTTGCTCGTCATTGTGTTTTCTCTCCGATGAAGATTTCCGTTGCCGACTGATATCGGGATACTTTCGTTCAAGAGAGTAAGCTATTCTTTCCAACTCTACGGTCAACCGCTGATAGTTTTTCTCTTCCTTGTTCATTCGAGCTTTAACCTTTTCGATGTCAGCCAACTTTTCTTTAACGATATCAGCATACCGGTAGCTAATCCTGATAGGAGTCTGGCAGATGGGGCATTGCTTCAATTTAATATCGTCACTTCCACTATCCTTGTCCATCCAGTAATCCATTGCTGTAACTTCAACCACGTGTTCACAGTCTGACAACTCAATGAATCTTGCATTTTTGTCTTGCTCAGTTCCAAAGTACACCTGGGTAACTTCATCTTCATGGCAAATTCGGCACAACTTCGGGCAAGGTTCTCCGCAAATACCAATGCACGGGTGGCTACATCTAAGCTTCTTCCTGCATGACTCGTTACACCGAGGACGGTTGCATTTCTCGCCACAAAGCTTTGTGCATTTGAAGTGAGGGCAAACCCAGGCACAGGGTTCCTAAAAATGATAAAGAACAACCATAAATGATAATGCTCAGAGGAGCACATGACGGGAACTCAGGGAAACCCACGACGTATTTAGTAACGTGACTTGGGTACATTACCTAAGGTCACACCATCAAGCTAAATCGGCAAGAAGAAATTGCAGGCATCTAGGGTTGATTTTAAGGCTGTGGCCCTGTTGAAAAGTGTTGCTATTCTAGTGTGTTTGAATTCTGGTCATAATTTTCGCGGCATACTGCGATACTGGTGATGTTTTTCCTTTGAGGCTGAGATGCTCAGATCAAAGAAAGACCAGTAATTGTGCGACAATTTCTGGCAGTTGGAGCACAGTCTCTTGAAATTTACTGAACAATTAAGAAACTATTAAAAATGTTATAGGCCTTAATCAGCTACCTTGGTTCAGAGACGGAGATTTCAAATAAAATTACCTCATTTGCATACAGTTTTCATTGTACTTACCCTGCACGGTGCGCAAGCTTCCATACATTGTCTAGGACATCGGCTATGGGAACATCGATTTTCGCATTTCTCAGGACATGGCGGGCAGTTCGTTGTGCAAGGCTCTTTGCAGGGGTGAAGGCAAACCCTTCTTCTATTACAGTCGGCCTCACAAGGAACGTGAATTCGTCCTTGCTTGCATTCGCGGCAGTCTCCAACGCAAGGGTGACCACAGTCCAAGGTTGCACGACAAGGCTCTTCGCATTGCGCATATTCTGAAACCTCCCAGCAAGGCTTTTCAATTTCATGACCACATTCAAATCTCTTCTGGACAATTTTCTCACACTGGAAAAGTGCACATTCCTCCCAGCATTTTCCAGGGCACAGATGACGACATGGCAGATAGTTCCAACACTTCTTCTGGCACTTAAATGTCTCCACAGATATTCCGCATGGCACAAGTTGTTGGTGTTCACATTTAGGGATCTTCTTTTCCACTTCTACAGGGCACAATAGGCAAACCTCGCCAAAGTGGCACTTTTTGCTGCACTTAGTTTGATGCTCTGAACAGACCTCGGTTGAACAATCTTTCTGGCATTTGTACAGGGCATGGTCACTGTCATCAGGATGACACACCCTTGTGCAACTGTGACCGCAGGGAAGTCGAAACTTGCAAGGCAATGTACATCCACCCTCTGGTGCTGACTTGAAGTCGTCTGCAACCCTCGCGTGGATTTTTCGATCGGGGTGTTTAGTGCAAACCAACTCTAATGCTTCCCCTATGGCATTATGATCTTTCATATCTTGGGCAATTCTCTTCCAAAGTTCACTTTTTTCAGCCAGCAAGGAGAAGTTGCCGATGCAATAAAAACCTTTCCGAGCTCGAGACAGTGCCACGCAGACCCGATTCTTAACTGCAAGGAAGCCAATTTTCCTCTGCTTGTTAGATCTAACCAAGGAAAGCAGAATTATTTCATTCTCTTCGCCTTGAAAATTATCAACAGCCGTGACTCTCACTCCCTCAAATCTATCTTTTGGCATTGTCCTTTGCAGAGTGATAACTTGCCCAGTGTACATGGTCAACACCGTTATCTCATGTGGTGCGTACCCTTGCAGGATAAAATACTCGCAAAGTGCTGCGATGAATGTTGCTTCGTGTTTGTTTGAATGGCTCTTGAGTCTGTCATTGACTTCACTTTCATCTTCAAGGACTTGGTGATTTATGAAATAAATGTTTTTGGATACACCTTTCACATCTTCGTATGTATGAACTTCTTCATGATCTTGAAGATCTTCGTAGATGAACCTCATAAGTCGCGCGATTTCAGGTCTCATTCGATGCTGAGTGTTGAGCTGGTAACACGTCATCCCACTATTTACCATTCTTTCGAACAAGGACACATCAAGATGATAGTCCTTCGCTAGAGTGTATACGGACGGGTTCGGTCTCAACTGCTGGTGGTCACCGATCAAAATCAAATGCTGCGTGTTCTTAGTCAAGGACGTTATGATGTGAGCTTCAAGAACTTCTGCTGCTTCTTCAACGACGACTATTGTTGGTTTAATCTCTTCCAGTAGGGCGCGGTACTTTGCAGCTCCAGTAGTGGTCATTCCAATCACTACAGCATGTTTTAGGGCGTGCAATTCTCCCTGGGTTTTAATCTCTGTGAAGCGTTTACAGATGTCCTCGTATTGCTTATTCCTCTGTGAAATTTCTTCTTGGCAGTAAGATTGAAACAACCTGAGCCAAAACAAATACAGCCTCCAGCGGTCCTCGAAGGGAAGGTTCCAAACATTGTTAATCTTGGAAAGTTGGGTCACAGTGAGGGGTTGAAGCTTGGATTCTCCTGCGAGAACTTTCAAATGATCTTCCGAGAGATTGGTAGGGTACTGTTTTTCTCGCTCGGTGTTGTCCTGTTTTTTTAGAAGCTGGAACTGATTCTCACCTAGCAAGCGCTGGTTTTGAATAATTTCAGCATCTCTGTCTACTTCGATGTTATCTTCCATAACTTCATTAGCATCTTCACGGGAACTACCTTTGTCAGCAACGGACTCGGCGGTCGGAGTCTCATTCAATGAACTCCTCATTGTCACAGGGATCTGTTCCAGACCTAGCCAGTTTTCAAGAACTGATTTTCCTTGCAAGTTTAAAATGCTCTCTTTTGCTTTGAATTGGTCGAAGTGTTTCGGACCGACATAGCTGTGCAGGTCTCCCAGTCTGAGGATATTTCGCTTGCTCCGCGCCAGTTTGCTACGTGCTCTTTGGATGGCGTCTTGGCATTTCGTCATTTCTTGCTTGACCCAGCGCTTGCTGTCGGAAGGCTGTGTGTGTTCTTGTAAGTTGTGGGCTTTGAGACTCTCCGAAGAACTTCTGCCTCCAACTCTTATAACTCCTGTTTGTTGGAATTTTAGTACTCCCTCCAGAAACTGATCCAGGGCATGGTTTGTGTAACAAACCATCAACATGGCGGACTTCTTTTCCTCGTTCCAGACATGCTTGTTGTCTAGAAGGGCTCTCACAATCTTTAAACCAACGTACGTCTTACCTAGAAGAAATTAGGTAAAGAAACATAATTAAACGATGAAAAAAAATATAAGGGAAAATTACTAAATTAGTTATTGATTAGCGCCCTTGATAAGGGGGTGACCGGCTGGTGAGCGTTGGCCGACGTCATTGTGTCATGCTGCTCGGAGGCACATTGTCACAGTGCTAGCTCTCCGATGCCAGATGATAGGGTTTGAAGTATTTTAAAGTAATTAAAAAAAGTGATAGATTACCAATGGGATCACCATTAGCTTTAAATCGATTCTTGTGGCTTTAAAAACTCCAGCATGTATTGGGAAACACGCGTGAGGTTAGTCTACAAATTTCTTCTCTATATAAGCTATGGAAAGATATATTAGTGATCAAGTTACTTCGACTCTCGGCCAATAAAGCTCAATAAGCCTCAATATAGACCACTTTTTGACTTAAAAGCACATTTCAAAATTAACACACTATTTACACTCCTTTCGAAAAATAACAGTTAAAATATTGGGTAAGTTACATTACTATTTACCGAGTGGTGGAGGTTGAGTTAACTTTACCTGTGCCTGGAGGACCTTGAATGACCGAGAACTCTTTCGTCAAGGCACCTTTTAACGCTTGAAATTGGGAATTGTTGAGTTTCACGTCATCGACGTCAGGCCATGTCTCAAAGTCGCAAATGGCCACTTTGTCCGCGCCCTCGAGTACACTGAGAGTCTCTCTCAGGTCGTACCATACTTGGTTTTTGGATTTGAGGTACTGAGGAGGCTTGACATCGGGGTTACAATGGACCAAGTACTCTTGGAATGGAAACGTATCTGTGGTAATATACTGTAGCTGGTGCAGAATGGGTCGATAAGCCTCAAAATAAGCTGGTGATTCCACCATTACATACTTATCAAGCATTCTATGGGTACCCTCGAGGTCGTCGACAAATCGAATGTCCAGCTTTCCTGACCGAAGATCTTGTGGTTTCCGATTTGCTACCGTCGCAAACAGCATGGTTTTAAAATTATCTTTTGACAAGCAAAGGAATGATCCATACAGTAAGCGTTTCGAGTGCTCCCACGGTATCTTTCCGAGGTTTTTCATCACCAGACGAATGCTATGAACGACTCCAGCCATTGTATAACCGGTGTTCATAATTTCGACATTTTCATAAATGTTCAAGTCTTGCGATCGACTTTTCTTGGGGACCTTCTTCTTGATTTCTCTGATTCCCTCGCGCAGTGGAGCGACAAAATCTTCGCGAAGAAGGCGGAATTGAACATCCAAGTAATCATTTAGGTCTTTGTACTTCTCCGTTTCAGCAGTTTTGTTTCGTCGCAGAAAGGGCCTCTCCTCTGAATTAATTTCAGTCTCGCTTGGATAAATGGATATTTCTCTAAAGTCATTCGGTGGGGGTGGCTCCACTTCTTGAGGTTTAACTTTCGGCCATTTCGATGCTTGTTCTACTACTCTCTCCTTCCTAATTTGCTCGCGTCTTTCAAGAAGAAGCGTTTCCACCTCTTTCTTGTATTTTTCAAACCCTTTTACGTCAATGTCGTTTATAACTCCACTGAGTTTATCAATAGGAACGTCGTGACAGAAGGAGTGGGGGAGTTTGGCAAGCCATTCCTTGAAAAAAGTTATCAAGCATTCCACCAGTAAAGAAAACTGATCTGAATTCATATCCTCTTTAATAAAAGGGAGATTTAAGATGTATTTAGGCAAATGAGTGGCCATAAGGGCGGATCCCTTGCAGATAGACATCACTTCTATCAGATTCTGGGTCATCATAGTATCACACATTTTGCCCAGGATTTCCACAAGCAGTGTCATCCAATCTTCTTTGATATCCTCGGCGTTTACCAACACTTCGAAGCTGTCGCGATACTTAAGGAGGGTCATTGCCATCTCTGACGGTTCCGTAGATCTAATCTCTTGCAGTTTTCGATAACCAAGATGCGGACCACTTTGCCTACCTTAGAGGTGATAATTAGAGCAAATTTTAGAATAAACCAGCTTTCTCTTTTCTGTTCCAGTTACTTAACCCTTCAACTCCCAAGATCTTATTATTAATTCTCCCCTGTGGCTGCTACACATTTCCTTGCAAATTAATTATGAGTTTTTGGTGCTAGATCAAGATAGCAGCTTCTACCTGATAAGTTTGAATATTCTCATTACCTGTTTGCTGAAGAATGTATGGATATTGTAGGGAGAAGTTTTATTTTAATCACTTCTGAGAGTTAAAGGGTTAATGGTTTCATGCAGCAAAGAAATTACGATTACTGTAATGCTATGTTTGTGAACTGTATACCTCTTGGATGATTAAGAATTTAAGAAGCTCTGCCCTTTGATCATTCAAAGAGAATTTAAAGCTCCAGCTCTTGATATACTAATCAAAGTTAGAAAGACTTGATGGGATCAATCAAGGTAAATCAACGTAATGTTGTAATTTATGCCCGTAAAAGTGTTTCTTACTTTTGAAGTAAAGTGAGATCACAGCTCTTGATTTCGTTGGAAATAAAATTTAACAACGCAAGTGTCACGCAGTGTGTAATTCTTTTACGTTGAGATGTACTGTAGAGCTGCATTCGTCTTGGGGTTTTAAGCAACTTATGAAAGACTGTTTGCAATTGCAGATTTCCCGTGGAGAATTGAAATCACTGAGGCTAAAATTTGCGTATCTTATTTTAGTCCGCGTTCGTTAGATCAACATCGAAGTAGAAATTCCAAAATATTTTTCTGAGAACGACTCCTCAACTTCTAATTTTTTTTTCAACTGTGGATAGGCAGATGCACCAAAAATAGCGTTTTTTAACCGGTGTGTAATCAGTGTATTTCTTTCAATGTAAGATTCACCAAACAGAATTGTGTTTATATATACATTCGTATTTGAAAATATCATAATATCTGACACAGACACGACCCATCCATTACCTGTTTTTAGTCTCCTAATCAGAATAACCACAGCGGAAAAAAATTTGAAATTTCTGCTTGAATTTGGTTCTTCCTAATTCAGGGCTGACATCGAATGATGCATGAATTCCTAAAAATTTCTTTTGAATAATATCCTCATATCAAATCACACCGATTGGAAAGTACCGTGAGCTCTGCACGATCTACATTATTTTGTTCTTCTGGATGCTTACGTCAATTAAGAATTGTCGCAATACCATTTGAATCGACGATGAATGTAGTTTTTGTAAGATTCATTCATGTTGGTATCAGTTAAACACGTCTTAATTAGGAATCAAGAGAATAACTTAGGAGTCGCGGAGTAAATTCCTTAACAATTGCCCACTGAAACCTAAGAGAGAGTTAACGTCACGTAATCAAAAGCTCAGATCTACTGAACAAGATAGAACCATGTAAACTGGGCTAGTATGAGAAGAACTTCTCCTCTTTAAAGCGATCAATAACTAATCCTACCTTCTCCTGTATTTGGTGGTCTTCCTCTGCCTCGGCCTCTGCCTCCACTACCACCACGACCTCTTCTACCCACAAAATAATTTCTATCCATGACACAAGATATTCCTTCCGTCGTACAAATTATATCTACTGATGGAAAGCAACGCTCTTTAGAAAGATCGTCAAAGTTTTACGATTTCGAAAGCAAAATAACTCGACAGCAAAGTATGTCGGCCATGTCGTTTGTCGTTTCGCGGAAAAGGAGGAAGTGGTGTTAGGAACGGTTACCAATGTAGAACGTGATGTGATTGGTCAATGTTCACAAAGCTGGCTGGGTAAGGCTCTACCGGATTTATCACACCGGGCGAAATTTTGTCATTGGATTCACGGAATGGAAGAGAAAACAAACTTCATGAAACAGAAAAAGATCCAAGGCTACAGGAATGCAATAAGAGTGAACAAATTTCTTAATAAGGAAGTGATAGAGTCATACAGATTACCTGTCTTTCCATGCTTAAACCACCTCACAACCTTTGCTGAATTGTTTTGTGAGACCAAAATATCTTCAAGTTAACGTAATTGGCGCACACATAAATATTTTCGTGGACCAGTCCGTCGCGTTGTCGTCGGCTTCGGTCCATAACAAGGATCTGTGAACAGGATACAGCATTCTCCGGTCATCCAGCCTTTTTTAACTCTCTCGTAGAGGCCCTTAACGCAAATATAAAATCAACTTTTCCAAAGCAATTATATCAGTTTGACATCTCACTTCCGCCGGGAATGATTAAATAATGAAAATTTGCTAAATTCTTCCATTTCGTTAACCCCTGACCCAATAACCCTTTTTTTGTTCTCTTAAAAATGAAACGGACGCGTTCCTAGGACGATCCGTTGTCCATTCCAGTTTTTCGTATAGCTTTTCTTAGAAAGATAGGAATCTCATTAAAATCAGACGATTTTCCGAGAATTGGATTAGCGAAGTTATTATATGAGAAAGCAACATTTTCGAGGCTACTCAGCACTGGAAACCCATGGTATTTCTCCGTATACGGGAATCTGAACAAATGAAGATGATAGCTGTCGTCCCCGGAGTCTAAATTTTAGATTTGGGATGCGTAATTAAGCGAGGTAAGGAAATATTAACCACTTTATTCTTCAGGTTTCACCGTTCAGCTACGAACTTTCAAATTTGCATACCGGTGAACTACTATGTCTGTGAAATTCAGAAAGGAGAAAAGCTCCCGATCATAGATCATAGAAATGAATGAAAAAAATTCTCGATCAATCGGAGGTATTCCATATCGAAATTTTGCGAGTGTCGTCAAAACTCCCCCGTTCATCTACGGCCAAGTTAAGTGAGTTAGCTCATAAAACTGATCGGCAATTGCAAGTCATTCTAAATATAAATATTCCATTATTTGTTATATACAAACTGTTTTCTTTACATTGTTCTATTACGTTCCAAGACTTTACTTAGGTTTTGTGACGTAATTGAAATGATAATGTATGTGTCATTAGTCAGAACTTTATGGGGCTTTTGGATTTTTGATTTCAAACTGAGGGTTTTCCTTTGTATTTCCCAATGTGTTCAGACAGATCTTTGTAATGCTATACCTCACTGTCATCACGCTTTTGTTGAGGGCCTTTCTCAGCACATGTTTTCCAACTTTGAAAACACAGAATGTTTGTTATTACGCCATGCCACCTGGCTGTCTAAATTTTATAGTGCGATCGAATTTGTTGGCATCTGCTAGCCAAAACGTTTCTATCATACGGGCTCCTAAAATATCATGGGTCGCATTTCAGAGAAATTTATACAACTATCGAAGCTGCATCACAACGGGCCCGTGCTGCCTAGCCAAGAAGCAAATCAAAATTAATAAAAAAGCTGAAACTGAAAACGTTGTTTCATCACAGAGCATTAGTAGCCAAAACCGTCGGTGCATCAAAATCTCAAGATATCTGAGGGACTTTGAACTTTCTACCTAATCGTTTCAAGTGCGGTAATCTTCGTTTCTTCAAATTCTATGGCAAATCTGTGAGAACAGATCGACAAGCGCACCTGTTCTATTTCACGGGAATTTGGACTATACTGTGCTTGAGTTATTATGGATAAATTTATTCGAAGCACTAAACAAGGAAAATCCTCGTGGATTATTCAAGAACGAACAGACAGATTCTTATTTTAATCCAAAGAAACATGTAAAGAATTTGTAAAAGTGCAGTTAATTAAGTTCTCTAATCTATTTCCATATGTTCGAGTCCTCACTTTCACTGATTTACTTCTACATAAAATTATTCAGACCACTGATATCATCTTATTTTTAAAATTTCCAATTCACGTTATTATTGTAAATTTTTTTTTTACAATAACCCACAACTTAAATCCGATATACTTTCTAAATACATTGATTTTTCTTTGGAAACCGTGATCTGTACTTAAGATCGAATGGTTCTTAAATTTTTAGGTTCAAATCGCCTATCTTTCCTTTTAGGCACCATGCCTTGGAAGAAGGGAAGACGAAAGAAAGATTCCAAAGGTAACCGAATACATGACCCTCTTACAAAATCTTTGAACGGACATCTTGTGCATAAACTTTCGGTTCAAGCTCAAGTTCTAGTTGTTTAGCTTTGTGATTTACAGACTTTAGATGGTGTCTTGGCATACACGGTTAAATTATCCAGAGGATTTGTCGGTGAGATTTTCTGTAGGTGGGTTAGGGAACACTGCACATGAGCGGTATGGCCTTGAGAAAAACAGAAGCATATGTTTTTCACATTTCACATACATTTTCTTTTTTGTAGAATACCCAAAGGCAAGTTGTCATTGCTACGCAAATGGCACATAACTAACTGTTCTACCTGGAAAACTTAACGTGCATATAAAATAATATATACCTTTCAAGATGTACAAAACGCAAACGAGAATCAACAAGAGAGTAAAGTGGTAGTTCCTTGACCAACCCCTTTTTACACGAGCTAACATTTGTCATCCGCTTAAGTGTGAATTGCTACCTGCGAGTTAAATTAGGCCAGCAAGAAACTAAAAATGGAAAGAAGATCTTTACTCATAGCCATAACGAGGTGAAACGTTTCCATTCATATCAGTTTAACTTTTTTACATATTTAGAATCAGAGGAAACAGAACAAAGACCACCCTTCACTAAAACGCAAGAACCTCACCCCTTTGAACAAAGAGTAGGTGCATGTGGAACAATCGCCGATGAAATACCAGGTAAACGGATGGTAGTTAAGATTTTTGGTAGATGCCTTCGACCAGTTCGGTTGAAAATCATTATTCGTACCCACTTGCTGACTGGTTTCCCTGACATGCAATTGCAATTAGCCCTCTAACGGTTACATAAGAATGTCGCAGTTTCTCAAATTTACAAATTTACAAATTTACCTTCATCCAATTTGTTTTTCTCCATGTTATGTGTTTGTGAGTGTGTATCATTTATTTATTGATTTTTTTCATTTTCAAAGTTGTCATTTCTTTACATTATTTTTTTGCTGTTGTTATTATTACCTGCTTTGACGGATGGCAGCGACAAGGTGGTTGAATATCTGCAGATAACTTTACGTACTCAGGTTGTCCTATGCAGTTAGATGTAGTATCTTTCGTTTCAATTGATTTTGATCGTTTGATTTTAGATGGCAACTCAAGGAACCTCGGACGAAGTCACAGAGGGTGGAATAGACCAAAACCTTGGGAAAATAAGAATGAAGGATTCAGGGGACGGTCTCGTGGAAAAGGGGGAGTTAATCAAGGTACGTTAGGGGAGGGAGAGTACAGTTCTAATGTTAACATAACGTGATGCCTCGAGCAAGTAGCGTCATGATTCTTGTGATGCTCGTTAGATCGATGTTTTACAACACCAAATTCGTCATGGTTTTTTAATTTTCGTTTTATTAAAACACATTAACCTCCCCCCCTTTCCCACTACTTTGCAAATGATGGGATAACTGATAACTTGAACATAACAAAATGATGCTTCTAAATTCCGATTTCTTACAATACAGAGATGATCAAAGCACAACGGCCAGGAAGAGTAAGAGACCAAAAGCCTTGGGCACAACACCAGACTCGTGGTAAGTTTTCTGGAAAATTCCATTCCCTGGAACTGAAACCACTGAAGGATATGGATTCCATTGAGGTGGTCAGAATCTTGAATGAGAATATGGCTCGTTTAAAGTATTTTCTAAGATCTGAAGAGGAAGATCATAACAGTGACGAGTTTACCATGGATCTCACCTGCACGCTAGCAAATGCTTGCAGCGCGCCTCCAAGTGAGTATAAGAACAAGATTTTAGCCTGCCTTAAAGGCTCAGTATTCTTAAGCTCCAAGATTCCACGTTTGTTAGATCGCATACAGGGGTCAACAACCTTGCACGGTCAAGAATCTCGTAAAAACCTTATTCAGTGGCTTATCGTAGTATTTGTGAAGTATCTGAGACATCTGCCGAGTTCCTATGCTGATTTGCCTTACGACCAGTTAAAAAGAGCCCTGGAACACTCGAACATTGATGGAAAAGATAAACTCCAAAACGATTTGCAGGATTTTAAGCATGCTAGAGACGACATCATAAGAGGTGAAAGACAGAAGCATGGCAAACGCTACATCAACAAGGCAGGGCAAAAGCCGCCGAACGATTTCAGAGACATACCAGTTTGTCCCACTAGCAAAGAAATCAGAACGCAAGAGCGACCCTTCCTGCGAAAGAATATTACTAAAGGGAGGTATGACGATGCCGAGCACTACCTGGATGTGCAATTTCGACTGCTGAGAGAGGATTTCCTTGAGCCACTAAGAGAAGGTATACCAGAAATTGTCCAGAATATACCGAGAAGGCAGCGGAAACAGTTAATGAGAAATTATCCGGGAGCAAGAATCTTCGACAAGACTTTTACGAAGTCTGGTATAACGTACAAAGTGCAATTTGATACTACGAAGTTCGATACAAGAAAGTGGGCACACTCAAAACGTCTTATTTTTGGCTCATTCCTCTGTCTTTCTAAAGATAACTTTGAGACGATGCTTTTTGCCACGGTCTTTGACCGAAAACCATTTGAACTGGTGAAAGGAAGAATTGACATTCGCTTTATTGAGGGACAAGATATCTTTGGAATAGAAAAATTGAAATGTGATTACCAAATGGTTGAGTCGCCCGCTTATTTTGAAGCGTATCGTCATGTTCTTACAGGTCTAAAGGAATTGGATGAAGCCACTATGCCCTTCAAGAAATATCTGGTTGAATGTAGTGAAGAAGTCAATCCACCAGAGTATCTGAGGCGCAAGGATACCCATGATCCGGTGTGTTATGATCTTCGTTTGGCTTTGGATGTACCGGAGTTAGTAAACGCTAGTGCAGTGCCTATTCTGCAGCCTGAGGCGTGGCCCTCAGTTGAGATACTGCCCCTTAACAATTCGCAGCTCGAAGCCTTGAAAACTGCTCTTACAACAGAGTTTTCGGTAATTCAAGGCCCGCCTGGAACGGGGAAGACGTATGTTGGAGCCAAAATTGTGCGATGTTTACTTGGCAACCGAGAAACCTGGGACCCCGAAGGAATTTCGCCAATGCTCATGGTGTGTTACACTAATCATGCCTTAGATCAGTTCTTAGAGAAAGTGCTGGAATTTCTTCCCAAGAAGGAAATCATTCGTGTCGGAGGAAGATGCAAAAGTCAACAACTTGAAGAGTGTAACCTGAAGCTATTTACTCGGAAGTACAAGATGCATGCAAGACGAAGAGAGCTTGAAGACATGATTGACCAGAAATATACTGATACGACCGAGTGGAGAGAATTGCTCGCAAAAGCTGACACAGTCCTTTTAGAATTCGACGACTTGGAAGAGTTATTGAACGCAGAACACATAGAGCAGCTCTACAACGCCGTTTTCCCCCACAATGCTGCAAGCGAATGCCGAACACCAAGCAATACATTCAAACTGTGGTTATGCAGTAACAAGCAGATGAATTCCTTCAACCAACAGGTAAGGAGCAAGGAAAGTGAGATGAACATCTGCGAAGAAATTTTAGTTCTCCCAGACAATGACGGAGGAAACGATGATAGCGCACCTTATGATAACACATCATTGACAATGTCACTGGATTTCGAGCAAAGTAACAGCAAAAATCAACTAACAGTTGGGAGCGGAAACTCGACACTGTCTTCAGTGTCTATCGCTGGAAACACCTCCCCGAAGAAACCTAATGAAACTGCTGAATCCAATGCCTCAGATATATATCCCAAGATCGAAAAAGACTTCAGTTTAGCTCTGAGAGAATTCATGGAAACACCTCTTGAAGACACCATACCAGAACGTATTTCAGGTCAACACAGAGGCAAGTTGGCTGAATCAGGAGCTTTTCAAGCCATTTCAGACACGAACAATGCGCCAGTTTCGAAATCACTGAAGGAATCAAATGAAGAAGAAGACATTCCTCAGGTTGAGAAGTGTCAAACTTTGACAGATAACAAGGAAGAAAGTACCGAAGAAATAACGGACGTTTTTGAAGAGAAAATTGCAATAGAAAAGGAGGCCGATTTGATTCAAGATCAAAGACGCATTCATGGAGAAGAGGAATTTCTGCCAGTAATGTTGCGAAAGGCAGGAGAACTTAAAAGTCAAAGCTATAATAAAGAGGAGGGGATTCTTGACCAGGAAGAGGGATGGGAAGTAGTAAACTACAGAAAGAAAGGAAAAAATCTCTTTGCGTGGAAGCCGGCTGGGGATGAGAATTCCAAAGAAGGGATGGAAAACGCTTCAAATGCCAACGATGCTAATCAAACAAAGCCCACAAAGAAAAAGAAAAAGAAAAAGAAAAACAAGAACAAGAAAACCACAGTCATAATAACAGCAGACATAGGATCAATAAAAACGGATCTGGAAAAAGTAACGACGATGTCAAGCGATGAAGCGATGACCATTGAGAACATTTGGCTGCTATCCCCTTCAGATCGACTTCGACTGTATCTTTCCTGGGTAGAAAGCTACCGTGAACGCTACCGAGCAGAAATCAATAGAAGTGAGCAGGAATATCAACAACTTTGCCAACAATTCGAGGGAGTCAGATTTGAAGAGGAGAAAGAAGTCATGCGTCGTGCAACAGTTGTTGGTATGACAACTAGCGGTGCAGCGCGGTATCACTCAGTGCTACAGAGAATTGCTCCCAAAATCGTCGTCATCGAAGAAGCAGCAGAGGTTATGGAAGCTCACATCATAACTTCTTTGTCGACCAACACAAAGCATACGATTCTCATAGGAGACCATAAGCAACTCCGTCCAAAGGCAACAGTCTACGAACTAGCCCAAAAATACAATCTTGAGATATCACTGTTCGAGAGAATGGTCATGAACAGTATGGATTGTAAGCGTCTGGCCATCCAACATCGTATGCGTCCTGAGATTGCTGAAATGACGAAGAGGATATATGATCACGAGATTGTCGACCATGAAACGGTGTGCGAGTTTGAAGACATCGTTGGTGTAGCAAGCAACCTGTTCTTTATTGACCATTGCAAGCCTGAGAAACTGGAAGGTGGGCTGCAAAGTTACTCCAATTCCCACGAAGCTGACTTCTTGGTGGCTCTCTGCAAATACCTTCTAATTCACGGATACCAGCGAAGCCAAATAACAATTTTAACCATGTACACTGGCCAGTTGTTACTTCTTCAAGAAAAGATGCCGAAAAGAAATTTCGGAGGAATTAGGGTCTGTGCAGTAGACAACTTTCAAGGTGAAGAAAATGACATCATCCTCCTATCATTAGTGAGAAGCAATTTAGAACGTAAGATTGGTTTCCTTGGGGAGTCAAACAGAATATGTGTCGCATTATCAAGAGCCCGAAAAGGATTTTACTGCATTGGAAACTTTAACCTGTTGAAAGGACAGTGTAAGCTGTGGAAAGAAATTTGTGATCATCTTCAAACAAAGAATGCTATCGACGAGTCACTGCCAATTGTTTGTAAGAAGCACAAAAATAAGACCAATGTTCGTTCTTCAAGTGACTTCGATATCATTGATGGAGGTTGCAAAATGCCTTGTGGTGACCGACTCAAATGTGGTCATTCTTGTGACAGACCATGCCATGCCTCTGACCTGGATCATAGAGACAGTCGATGTACCAAGGTGTGCCTCACGTCTTGCCCAAACGAACACAAATGTAAATACAAGTGTCATTATCCCAGAGAATGTCCTACGTGCCATATCATGGTGTTAAAGACAATCCCTCAATGTGGTCACAAACAATCAGTTCCCTGCAGCACCGACCCGGCAACATTTTCTTGTCGAGAAAAATGCCAGAAAATCCTTCCCTGTGGACATGTAAAAACGCTTCTGTGTTTTCAAGATCCCCTTGTTGATAACCAATGTGAATGGATCTGTAGTAAGGTTCTGGATTGTGGTCATTCTTGTTTTATGAGATGTACGGATCCCTGTCGATGTAACACTGAAATTGAAGTTGTGCTTGAATGTGGACATAGAAAAAAGCTTCTATGTCATATGAAAGACAACCCACCAAACTGTACTGAGAGGTGCAACAGAGTTTTGGCTTGTGGACACACTTGCTCCGGTGTTTGTTATGAGGACTGCAGAATAAGGAAATGTGCAACCATGGTTTACAAGACTCTTCCTTGTGGTCACGAAAAAATAGTCTTTTGTTCGCGAGATCCAATATCTGTTTTCTGTTCCGCTCCCTGTGAACGACGGCTCGATTGCGGACATAAGTGTTCCTCTGTGTGCGGGCTTCTCTGCATAGAGGTTCAGTGTCAAGTATTGTGCCTAAAGGAGTGTGATGATGGTCATGCTTGCCCAAAACCGTGCCATTATGGCATTTCTTGCGGAAATTGCATGAAAATGGTTGATGTGATAATTCCAAAGTGCAAACACAGTACTAGGAAGTCTTGCCACGTAGATACAGCCACACTTGTCTGTGAAAAGCCATGTGAGAGAGATAAAGCCTGTGGACATCCATGTCTGGACATTTGTGGTGCAGACTGTGAAAACCGACCATGCAAGAAAAGGGTTGATGTTCGACTGTCATGTGGACACCAAAAGTCCATGCTGTGCAATGATGCAAAGAGTGGCACAGGGAATTTACAGTGCAACGAGATAGTCGAGAGAGAATTATGCTGCAAACACATTAAAGAACTTCCCTGTCACAAAAATCCTGATGAGTACAAATGCAAAGAGAAAGTCAAAGTAAAATTATCGTGTGGACATACGAAGTCTCTTGTTTGCTCCGTTGCAACCGGCAACCTACAAGATATTTTCTGCATGGTGAAGATGGAACGAAAGCTACCTTGCGGACACGAGGCAACGCTTCCGTGCTACAGAACGCCTGAAGAATATCTCTGCGAGAAGGAAGTTGAAATTTCTCTTTCCTGTTCCCACAGGAAACTTGTGACATGCGCCAAGTTAAGACATGAACCTCGAAACGAATCCTGTGATACGACTGTAACAAGAAAACTAGCTTGTGGGCATGAAAAGGAGATGAAGTGCTCAGATAAACAACAGGAGACATTTTGTGAAGTTCCTTGTGAACGCTGTCTTCCATGCAAACACCCTTGTCCAGGAAAATGTGGCGAGAACTGCTCTGGTTTCAAATGTGCTGTGATAGTTCCTAAATTTCTGACCTGTGGATTTCACAAAATGAATTTTCCATGCTCTGAAGATGTTTCCAAGGTCGTTTGTGCAAATAGCTGCATCAAATCTTTGTCTTGCGGACATAAATGTCCTGGTAAATGTTCTGAAGACTGTAATCTACTCAAATGCCAAAAGAAGGTACTCAAACGTATTAACTGTGCTGGTAACCATTCTTTGAAAATGGCTTGTAGCGCCAACCCCATAACTACAACATGCCGAAAGCAATGCGAGAAAACTCTGGATTGTGGCCACCCATGTCCGGGGCTTTGCAGTGAGGACTGTGTAAACATGCAGTGTATGAGAAGAGTAGAAAAACGTTTTCCCTGCAATCACGAACAAGCACTTAAATGTCATGAAAGTAGGACTGCTACCTGTTCAGCACACTGTGGGCGTCGGAAGAGTTCATGCAAACATATATGTCAGGGAGTTTGCGGTCAAGACTGCTCCAAATATCCCTGTGGGGTGGTTGTGGTAAAAACACTGTCATGTGGTCATAAAGTTAAGATGCCTTGTAGCCAGAACGCTGATGAAGTAGAATGCCCTGCTCCATGTAAAGAATATTTGCTTTGTGGCCACCAGTGTTCGGGGACTTGTAGCGGTTGTCATCAACGGGATTCACACGAAATGTGCCAATACCCATGCCGTCGATTGCTTGTTTGCTCACATCGATGTAAAGCCAGGTGTGGTGAGCCTTGTCCTCCCTGTGACAGAAAATGTAGCCGAAGATGCCCTCATGCTATGTGTACTAATCACTGTTCGAAGCCGTGTAACTCGTGTAAACAACCCTGTACCTGGAGTTGCACTCATTACCAGTGTAATAGTCTTTGTGGAGAAGACTGCGACCGGCCTCGCTGTAATGCTCCCTGCCCGAAAAAACTATCTTGCCGCCACCCGTGCATCGGCTTATGCGGTGAAAACTGTCCTACTATCTGTCCTGTTTGTCATCCCAAAAAGTTCTCTTCTTTGTTAGCTGGTGGACGCGGTAAAAAAATGGAATCAGCAAGATTCCTACAGCTGTGGGACTGCAATCATATTGTAGAGGTTAACGAGATGGACAGGTGGATGGACACGCACCCGGATGATGACGTTCAACTCATAAGAAGGTGTCCAAAATGCACCGTGGCAATAACATTCAGCTATCGTTACGGGAGAATTATCAAAAAGATGCTTACCGATGTTGAAGATGTAAAGAAGCAAGTACAAGAGGTTGAAAGGGAAGTAAAAAATTCAATCAGCCTCATTGAAAAGGATCTACTGCGTCTAAATTACACTGTTCGTCTTGCACGATCCATCCCATGGAATTGGAACCCCCTTACTTTGCGTGGAACGCCAGAACGCCGTGTTTCTTTAATTTTCACATTTAAGAACCATTTGATGATACTTAGGCAAGTACAGCAAGCGTATCCAGTGCTAGAAAATATTCGTAGACTTCAAGCAGGATCGCAAAACCAGGTTGATGAAGGGGGACTGTTAAAAGACATCGAAGACGCCTTTGGGCAGATCAAAGAATACCTTGAAAAACCACAACTGGATTTAAAAACGCTTAGTCAAGTTCATCAACAAACCAAAAAGATCTTTCTTTTCTGTCATGTTTTAGAGGCCCAGAGTAAAGCTCTGCAGCGGCGGATTCCTTTGTCCGACATGGGTAAAACTCGGCTGCGATCGGCTCGCGAGCGGTTTGCTTTGTTCCTTCAAGGGGAAGATAACTCTCTGGATATTGAATGGTTGGAAAAGATCGTCAATACGCTAAGAACTGAAGTAAAACTTCCTGTTCTACAAGTTGAAGAAGCTCCAAGTTTTGCAAATTTTCCAGGGTATCAAAGAGACGTCTGGAACCTGTGTGGGCAGGGTCACATATATTACACGACTAGGATTGTGCGAGGCGGTGAAGAGATTACGGTGGGAGGTGAAGGTTGCACTCAGTGTGCAGATGCTGACCATGAAGCAAGCTAACCGATAGACGGAGGTAGAATAAACGACATCCAGTAAATCTGAGTTCAGGTGTGTAATATTGTACAGCGGTTTACAAATAATCACCGTTTGAGCCGATCCAAATAGTTTGGCATAAAGAGATCATGAAAAATATGCAGAAGTCATTGGAAGCGCTAGAACATTTACATTCTTGTCGTTGGGTTGAAACACCGTCTAGATGGTGACGGTAATGTCGCACTCTGTTTATAGCTTATCTTGAACTTAAAACAACTTTTATAAATACCGCAAGAAAAGTTGGATAACATCAAACAATATCGAACTAAAGAATTTCCTTTGGCCAGCTGACGTTGTGTGCGTGACTGACTTGTTGCGTGACGTTGTGTGCGTGACTGGGATATTCCTGATGACGCAGAGAGTGAGACATCCTTAATACGAAACAGAGAAAGTACTTTAAGTGGACTGCTGCTTAAATCCGTTCCTTCAGCTTTCAAAGACGAGACTTGGAAAGGCTTGTGGATACCTCTGTTACCCGTAGATAATTAAGATCCGTTTTTAGTCTCCGTTTTGTTCCCCGTAAGGGCGACAGAACGTAAGAACATGTAGGTAACTTCTATTGACTGGTACGTAGGAAATGATTTGCTATTCCTTGAGCGATATCGTATTTGATCAATACTTGTCATGGAAATTATTTTTGTTACTTTCAAAATAATGTCTGGAGAGAAAATTTTGAAAGAAAAATATATTACACTATTTTTCTTGGATGCTTTCTAGTTTCCAAATGGCTTAGTTCAAAATTAAACTATGGATTGCAATTCTTATTTGGATGATGATTGCGAACATCGTGCGATTGCATTTCTTGTAAGAAAACAACAAAATTTTAATGTTAGCTTTCAAAATATACAAAGCACTACAACTATATCTTTAATCGAAGTTTTTAGAGGCTAGGCTAGGTCTATATTTACTTATAACCTTTAGTATGAAAATTAGCAGTATTCTTCACTACATCAGAGTTAACTGATAGGCACTGTACCTGATAGACTCCCCACTTAGGAGAACAGGTATCTACCTCTTGTCAAAGAGTATAAGGGGAGCATCAAAATGGGAACTTGTAATTTATGCCATCGAAATCATTATGCATCCTAACTGTCAGGACCCCTTGAGCCGAATTGAGGTTTTCTAATGGCATAAAGAGTAATTCATTTATTATTTGTCCTGCGGAGGCAATATTTGTTGATTGAAATTCTTAGTATAAGACAAGTTGGCCAATGGCCATCACAGTGCACTGAAGAATAAAAAAAATGACATCAAAAGAAACATACACGAGTACTATTGTGGTTAGTCTAAAAAGCTACTCTCAGGTGAATTTGATGACGAAGAAAATTGTTGACCACATCTCTTAACCCATCCAACCCCAGGACTGACCAAAAAGGAATTTCTCCTCACGATCGATACTTTTTCCAACAGAAAGGTGGTGAGAACATAGAAATCTATCAATTGGGGATATTGCTTGGCTTAACACCAATTTTGCAGGGGGTGAATATTATGATTATGCATGGCGGATAGTGTAAAGAATCGATAATTTACATCTTGCAATTGAAACGGTTAATTGGCAAATCGACGTTTATTATCTGTTAAAAAAGAAGAAAAAAAAGGAACAACAACTCCTGACTTCAGTCCGTCATCCGAGAACAAACTAAATGCCTATCGTGCATGCTTGTAGCGATTCCCAATGTATAATGCCAACTTTTGTCAGCCACTCCAAAAAAAGCTGGTTTTAAAAAAAAAAGGAACAACAACTCCTGACTTCAGTCCGTCATCCGTGAACAAACTAAATGCCTATCGTGCATGCTTGTAGCGATTCCCAATGTATGATGCCAACTTTTGTCAGCCACTCCAAAAAAAGCTGGTTTTAACTTTTTTTTCATATTTCGTCACGAGTTGTAGAAAGTTTGTTTTTAGTTCTTTTTTTTTTTCGCTTGAAGGTCAAAAATTTCAAGAAGCACAGCGATGGTCAATTTCGACGAGCTATTTCTATAATGGTGCCGACGAAAGAAAAGCATTAGGGTCTGGTCTACAAAGTAAACCTTTCAGGGGATCATGAACTGTCAAGTCCGTTGCGTTTTCCATATCAGCTCTAACAAGAAAAATTTAATTTCTAAATGAAATAACTTTTTCTAAGAACTAAGCTCTTTGATTAGCGACAAAAACACCAAGATAATATTTCTAGGAAAACAGCATCTCTTAACCCTTGTTTTGTTTGCACTTTTACACCTGGTTAAGAGGGTAGACTTGGGCAGTGGGCTGTTCATTGTGTTACATACAATTACCGTATTACCGTATGTTACATGAAGACCCACATCGTACTGAATTCGCTGACATCAATCCAAAAAAACTGAGACGGTGCTGCCCAATCTTTTGTATTTAGTCTACTTCAATATGAAGAAAATTTGAAATGAGATCGAGGAAAGCATCAGTAAGCTATCTGGGTGCTTAGTAGTCGTCACTGTAAACTCTTTTGTTAGCAAACGATGATATCAGTTTTATTAATATCACAGAGATACGACACAACACGATAAAGTGAGGCACGGGATAAGAAAAAGAAAATTTTAAGAGAAATAAGATAACCTGATTGGCTATCAAAGCCTTTTCAAGTAGATTATGTTAACCACAAAGAAGGCATTCCGTTGTCCAAAGTCTTTGACTCCAGGGTCCATTCTAATTTTCCCAGACTACTTTTTCCGAGAAAAAATTTATAATCGGACAAAACAATTTTTTCTCAGAATCTTGCGGTTTCGAAAGATTTCCCAAAAACATTTGAAATATTGGTTTCTGAGAAATCTTGCTTTGTCGAAACACTGTACTCCTGTGAAAGAAGTTGGAGTTGGGTTAGAGAATAGACTTAGAGAGGCTGGCGCATAACTTGGTAAGTGAGAACAAAGTGTTTTGTGCTATACAATGTTGCATTTCACACATTTTTGCGTAGATTTAGTAAAGGAAATAGAATTCGCGGGCCTCTGAAATTCCGATGTCGCAATGACACAAAAATCAAACCGGTTTTATGCGACTCGTTTCGTTTCACAAGACGAAAACAAATTTTTCTCGCGATTATGATACTACAATGGCGGGCATGACAAATACAAAATACAAGTCATGAAGGGAAACATGATTTGCCCTCAATGGTCGAATGTCTAAACATAATATTAAATTATAAAAACTCCCTTTAAAACCGATCATAACACAAGAGAATTTTGAATGGTTAAACAAAAGTAAAGCCACGGCCCCCAAGATAAAATCTGTTGAACTAATCTGTAATCATCGAACCACAAGGAGCGATTAGTGTCGGTCGATTCGTGTTTTATATCTTTAAGCACATGCCGAGCTCAAATCTGCTGTAATTTCGACTGTTTTCCACACTGTATGAATGAAGACAATCGCGAAAATTTTGATTAACCTTTGATGGCTGTGGCGTCATATTGCACAACTGCTTAACAAATTGTATATCTTGGTAAGGACCAACAGTTTAAACTCCTTTATTTTGTTGTATTTCACAACCTAACTTGGAAAATCATAAGTTTCGAAACTTTCACTTATGTTTGAATCTATATCTCAGATCAGTAGCAAGAAAGTTATGGGTATTCTTGGTTGTTATTTCCGCCTAGCTGGACTATGCCCGAGGAAAAATATAATGAAAATGGAGTTTGACTCTTTATATCATTTAATGTCAGGGTACATACGCCATCATAATGTTTGTTAATTCAGATGACTCGAAAATATTGGATTATAAACTATATATATTGTGTCTGCAAATTAAAACTTCGTACCAATTCCAGATGGATTTGAAAAATGCTTTGCATCAGCGAAATAAATATTTATAAAGTAATTAAAATCCCTGATTCACTAGCTCGAAGTTAGAGGATGAAGTTAGTATTTTCTATTTTGCTAAATGTGCGGCGCAAGTAGGCTGTTCTAGTTTGATAGGAAAACTGTTATGTGAAATGTTTTATTTTAATGCATTTCATAAACAACACTGGCTACAGGTACTGGGAGCAAATTTGTGTTCGATCAGGTTGTTTTGTCTATGTATCGAATCTATGTATCGTGGTTAACCAGATCTTTCAGATAAAATATGCAACATTGTGCATCATCAAACATTGTGAGACGATTGTCGTTTCGTAAAGAATAATAAACCAATAAACTGAAGCAGCTTCATTAGCTCGTCGTTGGCACCCTTGAAATGGCTCGAACGATCAAACGTATTTAGTAACCTAAATTGCTATCTACGCTCATCATGGAAACGAATTGCTATACATTGCATGAATGAAATAACGGACCGACGATGAACGATATAAAAAGTTATTCACTGCATTGGAGTACTCCTTTTTAATGTTTTACATTACCCTAGTTAAATCGTACAATATTCCTTGTATTATTCAGTTGTTTCAATATCTTAACTGTATTCTTTTGCAAAACTTGTATAAATGTTTTCTGCTAGGAGACCTTTACAAAATGTAAATGGTTATTCCTCGCTTAAAATCAACTTTTCGTAAGGGCACTCTTAATCAAGATGGCGCCTGTAATTGAAATAAAGTCCTGTGCTTATATTCTGTGGGTAAGTCAAGACCGACGAGACCATAAAACCAGTATTTGTTCAGCAAAAGCAAATTTTTAAGACGCTGAATGATAGAATTGAATCGAGTGTTGTTTTATCGACAAACTACCTCAAGTTCCCTAAATTTGCTGTCCACACTGCCACGTTGGCAAATGCAATCAGACCGTGGAGTGACATCATAACTCATAACTCGACCTAGTTGATCGTGCCAATCCCGCGAGCGTGGATTGCAGTTTAAGTCACGGTCTGCATGAGTGAGGTTTTTGTGGCAAAATGTTAAGGTAGATAAATTTAGAACTTTAATTTTATGCATTCTCTTCTTTATGCCTAAAAAGGCCTCTGTCTGCTTATCAACATTCTCGTAATTCCTTAAAAAGTTCACAGAAAGTTTGTACCAGCAGCAAAATAAGGACCTTTGAGGGCGAAACACTATTTCGTATAATTTAAACAATTTTGAAAGCTTCCTAAAAAGCCCCTACTTTGTTCAAGTTTCAAGTGACGAGCGATGACTTTTTAAAGCTCTATCATGTTTTAAAACTCTACAAATTGTTTTCGATCCATCAGTAGTTATCTATTTCCCTTTAGTTTTACAATTAAATCTAAATAGACTACTACTGCAATATGATAGGTAAAGATTAGTCGCAGGTTTAGCTTTGTAAAGTGGTACCAAAAAGACTCAGTTGTGATACATCACTCTTCTTTCAGCACCATGCCCTCGAAGAAAAAAAAATGGTCGAGTACCTTCGACAGACGTGAACGACAACAGGAAAAATCCAAAGGTATTAAAAAGTGTTTCACTCTATAACTCATATATATACCCTACATAATATTCTTAAGTAGAACATGGCCAAGGGTTTAACCTTAATGGGCAATCATTGGATCGGTATCAGTATCTGGGCAACTGCCCACTTACCCCTTCCCCAGCCCAACAACAGTCTATTGATAAAAAGTTAGGGTTACTGTTGGGTTAAGGGAGGGGTAGGTGGGCAGTTGCCCAGATACTGATATTGGTCCCAATCTCCAATATTAAACTTTTTAATTTTGTGAGTGCGTTTAATGTTGTTCCGCTATTATCTAGATTTTTTACTATTCATGAACTACCCTGAGGAGACATTTGTGTCGAATACAATAGCAGTGGAAACTTCATTGGGTTATAGCCACTAGTTATATTGAAAGATTGCATGGCATTGATTCCATTTAAAGGCATGTCTCTTGTTTTCGTCCTCTTTGTCTCTAGAACTGACCCACTGGTTAAGTTGGACCCTCCCCGCCCCCTCCTCAGCCCCCTTTTTAATTCAGGATTAGTTCAGTCTGGGTATCTTTTTTGCGGGCCTTTTACCTTTGCTAAAGATTAAAAAAAGAGAAAAAATCTTTAAAGATTAATGTCACTTAACTGTGTTAGACATCACCCATTTCATCCCTATGATTTTAATCAGTTAAAACTGGTTTCTACAGCTCTTTGCGAACGAAGCTGGATAGATGACCAAGACATTTATCTAACTATACTCTCATAATTGTAAATATTTCCACCTGGAAAAGGAGATATGCATAAACATTTTTCCAGTCCTGTACAACTTGGATGACTTTTATCTTTTCTAAAAACAACCAATTAAATCTCAAATCTCTGCTTGTATTGCAGAATCTGATGAATCATCAAAAACAAGGGAAGAGGGACAAGCCAAATCTTCACCATGGACAGAAAGTCCTCA